TTCGGTACGGACTTTATACGGTCTGTTAATGACACATGAACTGAAGAGCTTGTGCTTTTAGGGCAAAAGGGCAGAGGAGCAGTTGTCATTAACTGTGTTGATTGCGCTTGTAACAAGAGTCAAAAGATCCATAATGCACATGTTGTATGTAGTGTTTATATACTTTTCATATAATATTGTGTTTGGGGGCTGAAAAAATATAATTCTAGTAATATAATTCTAATAATAGGCTTTACTGTATTTCTCTGTCAATAGCTTCGACTTCACACATGGTTGAAGGTAGACTGGGGGGGATCGGGATCTTTTGTCGTTCTGGTGACGCGACCACCGAGAGCCGCGACACCGCCAGTGAAAGTGGGACCTTACTCGCGGGGGGGTGGGGAATGGCGGCGCGCACGCGAGGGGCCGAGGTGACTCAGCGTTGCGGGTGATGGTGAGGCAGAGGCAGAAAAGGTGGGGGGCAGACCAGGCCTGCAAGGTCGTGGAGTTACGGAGGCCACTATTCCAGGACAAAGCGGGGTACCTGTCATTCGCAGAAGTCACCCGCGCCCCTGAATTGGCCACTCTTTTGTTTTTGTCCTCCTCTTGTTGATGTCTGGCGTTGCCGCGGCTGTTAAACTTGGCCTCGGAATCCAGGTCTCCATGGCGACGAGCCTGGAAACCACACACACTCATATTATAAGGAGAAAAATGATTCTGCACTCTGGGGTTTTTTTTTTTTTTTTTCGGCCTCTGAAAATACGAAGTAAACCAAAACTCTGGAAAACATCGTAAAATCGAGAGCTCTTGACATGAGTGATGTTTTTTTGGAATTACTGCAAGCGCTGTTACAGCATGTAGTAGGAACGCCAGGCTGAATCCTTATACTAAGCTAGTGACAACAATGTTTTGTTTAACAGGTACACTGTAACAGGGCACCTGTTGTTGTGGCAGGAGTTTGGTTGGTTTCCTATAGAGCCATGTAAGGGTAAATTGGTTGCTAGAGAACCATCAAACTCCCCCCACAAGGTCAACTGCCCAGTTACATACTGTACACCTAATTAACAACAGCTTCAAAGTGTCCATAAGCCCTGATACAGGGGCGCAGAAATTTGGTGGATATAATAAACAGAGCTTTATGTAGGATTTTAAGAACATAAGTACAGCTAAAAATGAAAGGCGGCCATTCTTACCCGTTTGATGGTAGTTAATTAAATTCAGCCATTTTGTGAGAAAAGCTTGGGTATTGGCCTTATAACATGGCTGTGTAGCTTGTTCCATACTCCCACAACCCCTTACACGAAGAAGCGCTTCCTGTCCTCTGGCTTCCACAGGCATTTTCCAAATTTGCATTTGTGTTGTCTGAATTGCCCCTGTACGTTCCCGGCACCTTTTTTTTGTTTCACTCCTTGCCTGTTATTTCACGTTGTATTTGAACAGCGTCGATTTAGCGTTCGAGCGTGCTTTTTAAACACCTCCACGAAGGTGTGATCTGCCTTGTGGAGCTGTGGGAGGCAGGAATATCCTTTGGGGTGTTACTGGGATCTAGGAAGACCAGTTAATGGGAAGAGCTGAGTCCCCCTTTTTCTTACTTGAGTAACTGCGATATGGCCTGGCTGCCAAGGTAACCACCAAAAGGTAGAACGTCTTCCTGTCTTGTCAGTGAAGTGTGTCATGGTTTCTTTCTGGAGGGAAACTGAAATGAGGTAAGCAGAACAGTCAGCACTGCGGGAAACTTTTTTTTCTGCTCTTGTTTTGTTTTCTTATTCAGTGATCTGAAAAAGGGAGTCTTGATGTCTTCCGAGTTCTTTATGAATGACAACGCACATATCCCGAAATCTAGAACTGTTCAGAGTAAGATCAGACATTGAAAAATAACTTTTTGTGAAGAGGAAGGTAATTTCAATTTAAGGTGTTTTTTTTTTTTAAAGCTGCTAACTGTATTAATTAGGAAAATCAAGCTGACGATAACTCTGCATGTGCTTTGCTACTGCTGACTCACCTGTAGGCTCTAACCAGGACACACCACTGCATTTATACTCCTTAAGGAGTATTTTAAATACTCCTCAAATGCGATTAAGTGTTTTGAAATGAAAGGCTTCTAAGTGCTGACATGCTCCTCTTCCCAGCACGTTTACAGTCTAACTGTTTGATTTCTGGAGGACAAAAGGAGCTTTAACTTGGGTAACACCTTACAGGTTCCTACAGGCTTGTATGTCACCGGTAAATTACACCCAACCTCAGCCAAGCTGTGAAACTTGGACACCTCTGTGACTTTAGATCTCTATAATTCTGGCATATATCCATATTTTATGGATAAAGAAATTGAGCACCAGGAGAATAGTAGTGGTTGAATGCAGCACAAAAAAAGCTTTGGAAATACAGGCGCTAATCGTTCTTTCCCATGATGACGCACAAAGCCAAGCCTACAAGGCGGCAAAGCTTTGGGAAGCCGCTTCCCCGTTGAAAGGGACCGCTGGCTTCGTAGTGTCCCGTCGATCTCTCTTCCTCGTCTGCGTCGGATCTCGGGATCTCGGGGGGCTAAACCCCACAGCGCCTCCCGCATCCCCTGCACGGATCGCCGCGCCGCGGTCCCCGTCTTGCGGGCGCGCGCGCACGTGCACAAGCGGCGCAGTCTGCCGCGTGTGGGCCGCGGCCGCGGGAGCCCGCGCCAAGTTCTCCTCGGTGCCGGTATTCCCCCTGCCTGCCTGCCAGGGATTCTGGAGCCCAGCCAGGAAGGCTTTCTTTCTTGCTTTTTTTTTTTTCAAGTTGCTGTAGCGGCTTAATCTCTTGGTTTTGTGGTTTTCCCATATACTGCACTTGCAGCGCAGCGGCAGCAAGGTAACCGGTGCACTCGGTTGAACTCGGGGGAACAAGCCGGAGGGCCGGGGGTCTGTTCTCGTCTGCGTTTCCCCAGTGAGAGGTGGGAAGACTCCGAGGGGCTCTCGACAGCCTGGCTGAGCTGGAGGTGAAGGACGAAATGCTGCCCTTTGCCTGGCCGCTGTTAACCCACGCGTACCCCCTGGTACAAGAACGCCACTTGGCATCTGTGTGCCCCGAGCGGAAATTGGACTAATTACTTGATCTCTTGGCTTCCGTTTACCCCTAAGTGTTTAACGACTGAAGGAGTGAAGATAACTAGAAATCCCGTGGGATCATGCTGCCACTGACCCACAGCATTGCCAGACCTGGTCCATGTTCCAGTTGCTCTTCATTTCCTGTTACTTCATACAGACCACCCCTACATTAAATAGTGCTGTGCTTGACTAAAGTTTGTCATCCTTCTCGGTGGCTGGAGAGGTGCAAGCTTTAAACTGCTTATATATATATATAAAAAAGAAAGCTCTAGCAGTTCAGGGCTACAAATAATGGGATTGATTAATCAGTTCAATCAAGCAGGTGGGGGGTCTGAAACGTAGCCCGTAATGACACATTTAGAAATTAAAAGAGTTTCTCTTTTTCTAAAAGAGAAATGCGGATTGCGTGTCGTCTCCACACTCCCAGAGAGCCCTCTGCCCCTCCCACATTCCCGCTGCTTGGATCTGGGCGCGTCAGGGAGCATCGTGCCTGCAAGTGCACAGGAGACTTCAGAGGCTGAGGTGTGCCCAGAGCTCTGAGCCCTGGCCACCTAATCCCACCGGACCCTCAGCAGGAATCGCAGTTGGCTCGTAATCTGACCCAGGCTTAAACCCCTGATCCTAATGTCCAGCCCCTTGGAAGGCCCTGGAGATGTTTCCTGAGTCTCGTTTGAAGCGCCCTCGTGACGCGTTCATCGGGATCAGAAACCAACAGACCCTGCGTTGCCAGGACAGTGCGAGCCCTCTTCCTTCCGTGATCTCTTGCTCTGTTGTTATACTAGCCACTGGAACAAGCATACTGGTACATACTGTACCAACGTCTACACCGCCAGGAGTCCGTTGTCGTTCTGCTGAGATAAATGACTGATGAGCGGTCCCTTTCCCTGCTCACTGTAGAGAAGCCCCCCCCCCACACACACACACAGGTCTGTGCCTTCTGCAAGACGTCCACGTGCTGATATATCTTTCTTTCGGAATTCTGTTCGGCGTTTGACGATCGTAGCGGTTTGCGATTCGGGGGGCGTGATTCTCGTCTGCGCCCCCCTCCTGAGCCCCGAGAGAAGCGGAGACAGGGAGGTATCATTCCACGGAGTTTGCATGGGGTGGGGTTCATGCTAAATCAACCGAGGGAATCGGAATACTGAATAATCGGATGTTTCTGCCACAGCAGGGGGATGGCGAGCTTGTTGGGCCAGTTTTTTTTTATTTTGGTTATCTTGGCACAAGCTTTCAGGGACTTTACCAGAAAGGCTTGCTTATTTACATTTAGCGATTATCGTCTTGAGATACGTGACCCAGGCAGGGTTTGGGGAAACCTCCCTTTTCTTTCATTTTGATCCTGTTCCTGGAGGGCAAAAGGTCGTAATGCAAAATGGCAGGAAAAAGGGGCGTTCTTACTCTTTTTTTGCTTTTCTTAAAAAAAAACACCCTTTTTGGTCCTTTTGAAAAGAATTTGCATACGCTTGTGCGCGTTCTGAGAACGAGTTACAGAGGCTGTTCTGAAATGAGTAGGAGCCCAGGGATTCTTGGGGTGTTGCGTCAGCCTGGCCTGAGTTCATCACGTTGCTTATCTGAAGGCGTCGGGGTGCTTTTCTTCTGGAAGAGGGGGGAAAAAAACAACAACAAAACAGTCAGTTGTGTGTTAAGAGAGAAACCCGAACAACCTTTTCTCTTTCAGACCCCTTTCTGGAAAGCGAAAGGGCAGGAGTCCCACTGAAGGTCCTGTCCTGGTAACAGCGAACGGAGTCGACATTTTACTGTATGGAGCAAAAGTGAAGGAACATAACCAGCCGAAACAAGAGCTGATCCGAGCCATCAGGGGAATATTGGAAGCAAATGTCAGCCAGATCAGTGCTGAAACGCAGCTGCAGAGACACCTGTCTAATTCTGGGGGCTTTCTGATGCTGCATGTGGTCTGGTATTTATTAATGTGACTTCAGTCTTGTGTGTTAATCTTGTTCATTTCAGGAGGCTGCTCTGTTCCTTTATGAGGCAGCTAAGGGATGTGGGAGGGACGGGGGCGTGTTGTGTACATGGACTTCCTGTAAAATGTCCTCGGCACTACTGGAGTGCGTGGAATAAAGGACGCCCTAGGTTTAACGCAGGAGGGAAACCTTGAGATTAGTGAAATTGAAAGCACAGTGCGTCTGCCCAGCGTGGAGATCCCTTTTTCTGTTATTGCTTGGAAACTACCTTTTCACCATTCCCAGCTCTGTCTGGGGCTTTTCATGGAAACGCACACCTTTTCCATGAAAGATATTACAGAATTCAATTCTCCTACAATATGTCAGCAGTAACTAAATTCTGTTTGTTACAGAGCTGTACTGGATTGCTTTTGGACAGGTGCAAAGGTGTGATTGCAGGGTAGGACCAGTGCAACTGCCCTGTGCAGTATTGACTACTGACTGTGATTACTAATTAACACAGTGTTTAGGAGCCCCGTTTATATACTGGGCAATCATATCTCTGCCCTTCTGCCCTTGTAGTAAGACGCGTACATTAAAATAAACTGTTGGCACACAACAGGTAGAGGACCTGACTGCTTGGAATCTCAATGTTGACAAATGTCCCTTACTGTAGGGGTCTTAATAGCATAGACTGAGCTTTGCTATCTTGTCTGTTTCAGGGATTGTTTAGTGGTTTTTGGAGGTTGAGAGGGGGACTTTGTTTAAGTGGGTATTTTTACACACATGAATAGATTGATATGAGAAGAGGGCAATCGTCAGGAGTCGGGGTTGTACTTGCACTGAATCATTTGAAAGTTCCTGTGCAAAATCCCAGACGGTCTTTTCTGTAAAGAGAAATCGTGCGTTCCGTCAAACTGCAGATGGAGATTCCTATTCCTGCTGCGCTCAGGCCACAGCGAGCAGCCGTAGTGTCAACAGCGAGGCAACTTCTCCCTTTAGGTGGAATTTTTTCTGCTGTGCGCTGTGCAGAAAATTAGGGACTTTCCTCAGCAGTGAGATAAAAGTGGATGGAGACCTGAGCCAGGACCACATTTAGCATGTGGAGCTGCAGGAGCACAACACAGTGAGAGCTACTGGAGGAGATTTCTGTTCTGAAGGTTGCCGACCTGGGCTGGAATTAAAACCAAAAAACAGGCGCACAGGAAAAGATCCGACTTTCTGTTGTTGAAGTTAACATTTCAAGGTCTCCTGCCCACCTGCCTCTCTGATTTGCTCTCCACCGCCAGCAAAGCCTCGTCGCAGAAATAGAAATATCTTTGACAAAAGAGAAGAAGGAGCAGGAGACGGCGTTAAATGACCGACTCGGCTTAGTCCTGGGAGAAATGCAAAAGTGTGGTGAACCGACAGTCAGTTCAGGATCTGAGAGCTAAAATGGAGTCCAGCAGAAGAGCGTACTGGACCGCGGGAATGTCTGTGCAGGGCTCTCTGGAGCCCGTTGGTCCGTTGGAAAGTGTGGCGCGTGCCCAGGCTGGGCAGGACACCCTGCAGACTGGGCTGGGGGTGAGTTTCTCAAAGTACCGCAGGCTTGTTCTGTGCCCCCTGTGTGCTCTTTGTCCTCTGGCCCAGGAAAGGCACTTCTCCTGGGTGACATACTGTCGAGCGTGAGATTCACCGCCTGCCCTGCGGAAAATGGTGTTTTTGCAATTCAGTGGATGCCAACGCATTTGGTTTCCCTTTGTGGAATCATTATTGTGCTGAGTAAAGGACGTAAAACCCTAGTTCTCTAATACAGATTTCACAGAGTTTAGTTGTAGCAGCTAATGGAGGAAACAGCACTGGGGTGGTGTTACGGGAAGGCCCGTGGGGTACAGGACACCATGCGCATTGTGACCTGCCGCCTGCGGATCAGATGAAGTTTGATGTATCCACAGGCCTGTGCCCTGCAGTGTGACTGTGGGGAATAATGGCACCCGACACCTGAGCGAGATCGGGGCTTGCACTCCCGTGCAAATAAAAAAACACTCAACTGAGACTGATTAGCTCTTTTGAGGGCCCATGTAGAGTCCAGTAGGCTCCCTACAGAGTGTACAAAAAAACGAATTTCCTAACTTGTTATCTTTCTGCTGGCACTTCTGTTCACTATACTTTCGTTCATTTGTCCGAAGTGACCCAGCCGCTTCCCGTCAGGATGCAGGGGGTGCGGGTGCCGTTCGCACGCAGAGCCCGGATCATGCCGGGCCTTGCCTGTACGCAGGACAGTGAGCAGAAGAGCGCTGGGTCAAAGCTCTGGCTCCTCCCGTCGGGAAGATTGCGGGTTCGCATCCTTCCTGAAAAGAGTTCGGCCCCAGTGCGGCAGGCGACAGAGCTGTAAAAATGGGGATGAGCTTTGCTGTGTGATCCTGCAGTGGAATGGCATGCTGTCAAAGGGAGAGTCGCATCCTTTTTGTCTATTCCTACGGATACTGGGATAAGTTCTAGCCTGCAACTACATTCATACTGTTTTAGCTAAGACAGTAGAGTTGTGAGAGTAGGTGGTCTCTTCTAGGCCGTAGAAGACAACCCTAGTTGTTGCTGCTGAACCTCAGGCTTTCATTTAGCCTTTTGGAGGAAGACTGTGGTGCGTGTGCATTTACAACTTTGTCTTGGCTATCCGTGCGATGTGTCCCTTTCAGAGTGTGGATTGTAGTGTACTCTTGAAACTGCTGGTAACATTGTAGAGACAGCTACGCTCCCGTCTGTGTGACTTACAGCTCTGTAAAATGTTAAAAATTGACTTGAGTTCATGTTTCCTCCAGGAGCCCTCTGACTGCACTGAGAAAGGTTTTAAGCCTCATAGCCTGAGTCACCTTTCCTATCTCTGCTTCGAGTCTCTTCTGCTCAAGCGCACGGTTTTAAAAATACACTCATGTTTATGCAGAATATGGATATAGATGATTTTCTCGTTCATCAGCGACTTTTAAATACCAATCCCGTTAGGCGCACGAGATACAGAGTGAGCGTAGTCGTCTGGGCGCTGAGAACGCGATTCTGTTGCAGTTGATTAGAGGTGTTTTTTCGAAAGCGATGCAAGGGATATGCAAATGGAGCAGCGTGTAAGGGGCACAGTGGATAGAAATATGAAATGTCACTCACGCAAAGGGACAGGCCATGCTTCCTGTCTGAGTGGAGAAACAGTGCTTCAACATTATCTCCAGTGATTTACTGTAACAGGTAGCTTCTCTTCTGAGCAAGTAGTGGGAAGTACGTTCTAGCTATCATCTCAGTACTCACATTAGCAAAAAAAGACATAATTAAATGTCAGGTACCATGCCCTGCTGCAACATTTTTCCTTCCCGTAGGTTTACTGGCAACTTGTGCTCCTACTGGTGATGAATAAGAAATTCCCCTTCCACCATGGAATGGTTCTGTGGGTACAGAGCTTGCATGCTGGTTATGCTTGGCCAGAGCTCTCTCTGGTGAATCTTAGGATTTAGCTGATGCCAGTTTTTCTCTCTGCCTGAAGTTAAGAAACATGAGATCTGTTACAATACAGTATGAGGCCTTTTGGCCTTTCTAGTCCTTTGGCTAGTTGTTAGCTAAGTGATCAAAGGATCTCATCCAGCTGTTTCTTGAAAATAGCTCCTTCCGTAATCCCTCCACTTTTTGGGGTAAAAAAGCGCTTCCTGTAATTGGTTTTAAGTACACTTCCACGTAATTTCCAGCTGTGTCCTGTGGTGCACGTTTCATTCTTGATTCTGAAGATGTCTGCTGACTTTGACTTTGTCAGTGCCCTTGAGGATTTTGAATGACTTGAATTGTGAAAAGAACTGGAGTTCTTTAGTTGTTAACCAACCCAAGTGCTGTAATGGAGCATTGACACGAGCCGTCCTTGCCTGAGGAGTTGATGTCCAGTATCTCTGCATAGTCAGGTTAAAGACTTAGAAATGCAACAGTCTTGCTTGTAGTCCAGTACCTGAACCAGCAAGAGAATGTCCATGCAGCCTGCAGGAGTGTTATTTCCAGTTACTCGCAGGGCCTGTCAGCCCGTACATTAATCAGAACTGGGATAAAATTAGCAGCACGCGTCTATTAATGTAAGGTAGGGTTTTCCCGGGGCAGGATTTTTTTCAAAGTCATGGGGTATTGATGTGGCCTAGCAAGAAAGAACATATCGCATTTATGTGGAGTTTCACAACCAGAAAGAAGAACAGTGTGGATTCTTTACACAGGAATGACACAGACCAGTTCCTCCAGTGCCGTCACAGCTTGTTAACATTGAAGAAGTTTTTTTCCACTCCCTTTACCCCTCCCTGTCTGCAGGTTGGCGATAGCGGCATGGCCACTGTGAACACAATAGACTCTGCTGCTGAACAGGTGTTTTCAGATGCGCTTCGAAAGCCTGTTAATCGTATATGGTGGATACAGCATTGCAGGCGCTGTAGTTCTGTGTGCTGGATATTCAGATCCTCAAAGATGAGGGCAAGTGCATCACATCTCTGCACACCTCTCGGTCATCCTTCGGGGCGCGAGGAGGTCCCAGTTTGGTTCTGGTTCTGGTACTGGTGTGGCATTCGGGGTTTAGTTCAGAGACGTCTTGCCCCGTCGATGGGAATGTATCCCCTCTTGCGGCTTTCAGACCTGACACTAGAAAGCCAAGGCCTGTGCATGGAGACGGTCTTTCTGTGTCTCGTGTCAGAGGATAAGGTGCAGGCGCTTCAGGTCAAGCGTGCCTCTTCGTTGAGGGTGTCTCGTGTCGGAGTGGCCCACGCGGGGAGGTTGTCTAACGCAAAGCCGCCGGTGTGCCGTCGCCTGCAGGTCATGTCATCGGGCCGGAATGCGGAAGTGCCCCGCGAGCTGCAGGTGCCCCTGCACCACCGCCTGGCCTCCCTGCCCAACCCCTCCCTGTCCCAGCGGGCCTGGGCCGAGCCGGGCCTCCTGCCCCCCCACGGAGGCTTCCGGGACCGCTTCGTCCTCCCGCCCGAGGACAAGTACCGCTGCGAGTCCTGCCGGCTGGTGCTGTGCAACCCGCGGCAGACGGAGTGTGGGCACCGCTTCTGCGAGACCTGCATCGCCGACCTGCTCAGGTGAGGGGCTCTCGCCGGGCACCCCAGCTCCGGCTTCGCTGGGAGAGGCTGGGTGTGTTTCATCCACGACCGGACACCTGTCCACTAGCCTGCAGTGTAATCCTGGGGGGTTCATCCAGAGCTTCTGGTTTGTGTGTGTGGTCTAATCGCGTAACGTGGACGGAGAGCCAAGAAGCACTCGTGCACTCGTGCACTCGTGCACACGTGCACACGTGCGCTCTTTACTGTGCTTTGCACAAGGGCCTGTGTGCTCATGCGTGGGTTTTTATAAAGGTGCGCGTAAACACAGATGAACCCAGTGGACACTGTCTGAAGCCTAGCGCCATACTGATCATACTGTCTGCATTTCTAAGGAAATGATGCATGTTGTAATTTCCCTTTCTTTCAGTTTTTTTTTTCCCTTCCAACATCCCGCTACAGATTTCTGAACAAATTGCTTCATTTGTTTCCATAGCCGATTGCTAATGTCTGTTCTTTTGCTTTTATCCCAACTTTGCAATTAAGAAAAGTACAGGCCTCGATTTGAAATACGCTGGTGAACATGGCAAAGATGCACAAAAAAGGCCCTTACATTCCCAAATGATTAAGTCTGGAGAATGTGAAGTTGTCTCACGTAGGCTGGACATGAGATCCTGTGAGGCTTCACTGGCCTCTAGACCAGAACTCCAGGGATTTGTAGGTCTGTTTTAGTCATCACCTGCGTAAAGCACAGGGAGAAATGTGCAGTTTGATCAATATGGAAAATAAGTGGCTCGATAAACGACCGCTTACAGTGGAATTAAGTGACCCAGAGGTCAGTCGGTGACCAGGTCTGCTCACCACTGCGGTAGAAATATTGCTCTTAACAACAATTACCATTTTTCTTTATCAGCAAACCAAATGCAGTGTGCCCAGCAGACGATGAGCCTTTGTTTGCAGACAAGGTAAATACTCTACGCCCGTCTCTGCGGTCCTGCAATATTATTCACTTATCACTCTACTGTGATGTAATTATGCTTCAGAATGTCATATATGTGCAAAAATCCCCCTTTACTTAAAAAAGAAATGAACCGCTTTCGCGGTTTTGCATATGTATATGTATTTCATAAGTATCTTGGAATCCGCATACGTCCTGAGGGTTAGAAGCTATTCTAGGGACTTCAGTTTAGTTGTTCATTTAATTACTAATAAAAGGTTTCTATTATGCTCGAGTTCCGAAAGTTGTATTGACGTTCTTATTTGTTTCTCCAGATATTTAGGGACGTGTGCTGCCATCGAGAGATTATGGCGCTCAAGGTGCACTGCAGGAGTGAAAAGAACGGGTGCAAAGAGCAGATGAGTTTACAAACCGTTATGGTAAGTGCTGTGCTTTCATTAGCAGTCTAGGATCGCTTACAAGGTGGGGAGAGGTCCAGATTGGGACTTGAAGACATGGGAGTTCTCCTGCCATGGCAGAGGCATTCCAGATTCCAGACGGAAGAGGAAAATTAGAGGCAGACTGAGAGCCTCTCTTTATACCTTGTATATTGCATCTGTGATAATTGCACACTCATTCCAAATGTTTAGAGGGTACTTGACATCTGCGTACTGCAGAGAGTTAAATCAGTGTGGTAATTACCGGTGGATTAACGATAAAAAGAAATGTTAGAAGAACTTTTAGTGCAGCTTCAGCAGCAACCATAATGCAAGCGCCTTCACCAAGAGGAATGGAGAGAAACTTTGGGGGGTAAGTGTAGACATGCTTTTATTTAAAAAAATAGGGATTTGTACACTGAAGCCGCAGTTTTTCTATAGCTGTTTCAGGCAACTGGAAAAGAGTTAATCCATTGTGTTTTCAAAGTGAGCCGCCAGATTCTCCCCACCACAGACTGTTCTGGGTTAAGAGCCATGTGGTTAGGTGTTGTAAACTCTCACTGCTGTACAGGTGGTTTTAAAGGGCAGGCCACTGTAGACTCTCATCCCACTTCCTTCCAGCCCGGGCTGCAGAATGTAAAATGTTTTACGTCACCGCCCCCCCCCCCAATAAGAAAACTGAATCATTTCCTCTCTAATTATAATTTGTCCATGATATTTGAAACAAAATCCCCTGCCGGTTCAGAGTAACCCACAGCGTGCAGGCTGAGGTTGTCGCAGGCTGGCTGGGTCAGGTATGTCTGAAAAGGTGGGGGTGACTGGAGGGTGGATTTTCCTCTGTTCCTTATCCGGTAAGAACTGGCTGCGCCACACTTGCTCACACTTTCTCCGGCTGCACAACTGGCTGGAACGAGAAGAGAACCCAAGAACATTTGTAGCTCTAAATCGATTGTGAAATAGTGGCTTATTTTCATTGTCTTACTAATGATTATTTAGTGAGCTCAAGAAGTCTTTTCCATTATCACCCGTTTGACAGTGCACATGGCAATAAAGTCAGATAGTCGAGATCAGAATCATTGGTGACTTTTCATATGGAAAAGACAGATGACAAGGTGCGCAGCAATATAAAATAACCGGGACTGTCCTGATTGCTTCACCATGACAGATTGCTAAAGGAAATTTAATCGGTAATTAATCTGCACCTAGTGGTTTATGGTGTGTTGTACGAATTGACTGCAGGGCACTGTTTGTGGACCACTCAGTCAGCGTCCATGGGAACAAGAGGGCTCTGACAGATTCAGAGATTCCAGCTTGCAGGAAGGCAACGGATTGCTTTGACAATGAGCATGGACTTTTCCAAGCTAGATCGATGTCAGAGTAAAGGTGCTCATTGCAATTCACAGTTCACAGTCTGCGAATCAGATAGCTGGACATACTGCCACCATTTTCGTAGGGCTGGGGGTCAGTCATGGTCACCCTGATGACTCTTCCGGCTGCTGTGCACTCTGCTCTAACAGGGAAACAACCTGCAACTTTTCTTCATATTGAGGAAGACGTCACTCCTCACGATCCTGGGCTCCTCAGTTTCCCAGAAGTTCAAGTCAACTCTTTTTCTCGCCCAGACTTTTTTTTTTTTTTTTTTACATGACGGACAGCGGCAGACTAGAGGAGTATGAAAGGGGTTTGAATTGCCCTCGTCATGTCTTTGTCGTCTTGATTTTCGCAGGATCACCTGAATGCGTGCCCGTATTTTGAAGTCCCCTGCCCCCTTGGTAAATGTAAGGAGAAGATGATGAGGAAGGACATGCCTGAGCACTTGAACTGGAAGTGCAAATACCGGGAGGAGACCTGCCAGTACTGCAAGCGGAAGATGGCGGTCACAGAGATACAGGTGTGTGTGTGTTATTCTTGCTTCTCCTACCTAGTGACCGTGTGCTTTGTCCTGCTATTACTGATGTTGATGCACGAAAAAGCGACTATACCAAACCTGATGTGAACACATGGAAGAAAATCAAACTGCTGTGATGCAGCATTCAACTTTTTAAAAACTTTCAGGCCATCCACACCTTCATGCTCACTGTTACAGAATTCATTTTACACCTTTCGGATGCAGCAGTTAGCTGAGGTCCTCAGTGAAAGATGATCTGGCTCTATTCTTAAGAGTGGGGGTGGTAGCCCTGCTATCCTAATCGTGTAAATAAAAACGCGATTGCTTTCAGACCTTTTCAACAGTGGTTTACAAAAAATCAGGAGTATTGGGGATGCAGTGCTGTGCTGTGTATCAGTATAGTGGCCTTCCCTCCTGTGGTCACTGTGCAGTGGCCAGGACAGGCCCAGACATTGGCCAAGCAGATGGGCAATGTGTCCCTCCTGGTCGGACTGACCTCTGGGAGCACAACTTTGGGTGGAAATGTGCACAGTGGGCAAGCCTGCTGCCCTGACAGTCAAATCTGTCATCCTGTTGCTACAATTTACATGGTGCAGATGTGCCATCCAGCTTTGACCTCTGTTCTGCATATTGTTTCCATTACTTTCAGTCTGCTGAGAGCAAGAATGCAAGTTGGCATTGGAATTGCTATTGTTATCTACGACACGTGATCCATAAATTACTTTCTACCTAGAGGGATGTAATAACTTTATTCAGAACTACGACAGTGCAAAAGAAAAGGAACAATGAGCTACACTGCGTTTTTGAGTCTCATTGAGTTAGGCTACTGGGTTATGCCAGAGGGCTTATTAACGTGTTGTGAGAAGTTTGGTCTGAGGATCCGAGGAGTGAGGGGAGGTGAAGTAAGAGCCGTGGATTATGACATCCAGCAAAGATGAGTTCATTGGTTGGAGATTTTCTAGGTTTTGTTTTATAAACCTGCGCCTTGTTAGAGATATAGAGTCATAGACTGTAAAATAGGGTAATAGCATTTTGAAATAAAAACCTAAGGAATTTTTATTTGCTGACACCCACCCTGCTTTGTACTCTGTGCTCTGGAACTTCCTCTGAACTCCTTGGTTTGGTTTTGCAGTGACTGGAAAGGGCCGGTAGTCCACTCTGTGAGTAAGGAAGGTGAAACCAGTTTTTTTCACAAAGCAGCTGTTAGAAATTGGTGGGGTGTTGCTAGACCAATTGTAGATTTGAGATTCTTATATATTTATCCGGCTACATCCAGTGCGGTTTCCTGACTGGACTTTCTTATGAGAAGCAGTAAGAGGAAAATAAAAAACCTAAAACGTCCGTCTCCTCTGGAAACGGTGCGCTGATGTCAGGTAGCTCAGCTGCGCAGTCTGGAACCATGTGCTTGTCCCTTGCCGGGTTTCAGTGAGAACACGTGAGGAAGTGTTACTCATGTGCCAGCCTGGGAGTGCTCTCCGTGCCGGAGCAGGGTGGCCCAGGCCCTCTGCGTAGGTAAGAGAATTGCAGTCACTGTAGCGCGGAGAGGAAGGAGTTAAATCTGATCGTGCGTTATACCATTATCATTCCTTGCACAGGATTCGTTTTCATGAAAGCCGCCCTGAGGGGATTACCTCCCAGCAGAGGGTATCTTTTATAGTAATTCTGAGCGTTTCTCTGCAGAAGTGTGATGTTTCAGTCTAAACCTGCTCAGGACGTTTCTCCTGGTGGACAACACCCTCCCCTCCCCTCCCCTCCCCAGCACGGCCAGTTCATTTCAGTGGAGTTACAGGAAAGGCTCCTTTCTTCAGCCTCCCTGGCACCTGCGGGAGGGGTGGTCTTCAGCGCGGTACTCTTTGAAGGTCTGAAGACACCGTTAAGGTTCAGGCCATGAAGCCCCCACTGAACCTCAGAACCTCTTGAAACCACACAAGCTGGACAAAACAAGAAACAAAAGGGCACACCCTTCCTCCCGATTGAGTACCGCGTAGGCTAGAAAAAAACAACAAACACTGTGAAGAAATATGCTGTGCTCCGAATACTGGTTTCTCAGCTCTTTCGTTTCCAGCAGCTTCGCAGAAAATGTCTTCAAAAAACAAGTTCACTTCGGTTCAGATTCTTGTAATTTTGTGAAACTGGTTCATACTAAACTTTAGTGAGTTTTGAATCAACATTGTACTCGCAGCCTGAATTATTATAAATACAGTTTGTACAAGTTCTTGACTGCAGATTGGTGCCTCCATGTGGTACACCAGACCTCTTTGAAAAGAATAATATTCAGCTGCCAGGATGTATGTCTGTGTTGTGTTCACCAGCTCCAGAAGAACCCAGAGCGTTCCCTATTGCAGGGCCTCATAATAATAATTCCTTGCCAATCGGATAGTGCTTCTCATCCCAGAGGAACTCGAAAGTGCTTTACATATAGGAGTTACCCACCACCGACGTGCAGCCAGAACCGAGGAGACGTGCAGCAGCCATTCTGCAGCGGTAGATCAGATCTTCACCAGTTTTAAAGGACAGAATTTGGATAGGCCAGATCATCTGAGCCTAAAGCAGAACTGAGCCAAAATAGTGGGGCTAACGCCCCTACTCTTAACAACAGGTTATGTAGTCAGGAGCTCAGATAAATGTTGCATCTGAAAGTCAAATCCTCCCAAAGTGTCCGCCATCACCACACCGGGACGGTGGTTTAGAAATTCTGGTCCAGAGGGAAGACTGCCACCTACTGGTCTACCAACACCACTGACTGCAGCAGCCTGGCTTTTCTTAAGGATCTCCCAGTACTGGCAAGGCCCAGCTCAGCTTAGCTGTCCTTTTTTCATGTCTTTCAGAAACACAAAGAGACTGTATGTCCTTCCTATCCAGTGCCCTGCCCCAATAAATGTAGTTACACTGCTATTTTAAGGAGTGAGGTAAGTAAAGCCCTTTTCTTGCTTGTCACTGGCTCTACAGATAGTGATATCTGTGGAATTTAGTTCCTCTCTCTTGGTTATTTTATATATTAAGTGATGGGCGTAATTTGGTGAGTAGTGAGTGACTGAGTAAGTGTGTGGTTCTTCATCAGTTTGTGAGTGATTTGAGGTTTACAGGGAATTGAGTTTGAAAGTGCAGTGCAGTAGCCCCCGTACATTCATTAATGTAGTCAATTAACAGAGCCATGGCAAATACTAGTCATTAATGTAGTCGTTCAGCGTGAATAAAATTGAAAATGACACTTCAGTTCATTTCCTGTGACACATCTGGTCGGTACCGCATAGTGAAGCATTGACCCCTTTTTGAATAAAGTTATTCTTAAAATGCTACGCAATACAGAGAAGGCTCTGTAAAAAAAAACATTTCTGAATCAAATGAATTAATCCAGTGTCTTTTTTTTTTCCTCCCCATTTCTCTAGCTCCCTAATCACCAACATGATTGCCCAAATGCCCAGACTAACTGTGTGTTCAGTCGCTATGGATGCACGTTCAAGGTGAAGCAGTGTTGATATGACTTGTTTTTTTTCTGGGAGTGTGGGAACAGTTGTTTCTATTCCAATAAGTTACAATCCCACACCTCATCTCCAGAATGCTGTAATGCTCACATCTTTAAACACTCATTAGACATTGTTACAAGGAGATTATATTTCCTATGCATCCAATTTTATATATGTGAAAATGTTTTTGGATTGTCAAACGGCCACCATATATTCAGAGGAGCAATACAAAAAGGCTGGTTTAATAATTGAAGAGCAATTTTAAAATCCAGAGGGAGGATTTCACCAAAAAATTTTTAATTTTTCCCGTGGTAATTACTATGAATTAATTTACGGCAGAATTTGTTAAGAATGGGTAAAACAGACCCCCCACTGCCTCTTACTGAGCTCGCTGTCTCTATCTTTCCTGTAGGGTCTCAATCAGGAAATGAGGGCCCACGAAGCCAGTTGTATTTCGGATCACCTCAAGCTTATGGTCACCAGGAACCTTGCTTTGGAAACCAAGGTAAGTACTTGTCTTTCCGACTGCCTCTGCCAGGGGCTGTTCAGTGAGGATTGTATCCTCCCTCTGCCGAAGCACAGCTCTCCTTGAGGATGGTATTTCATGACGCAGCGCGTTGCTTGGGGGTAGGGATCTGTGGAGAAGAAAAGCCCAACTGTTTTGTGTTTTCAAGAGTCGCATTTTCAGCTAGCGTTCAGAATGACTTCATCAGCCACCTGACTGAACTCGCTCAAGAGCGATAGTCCTAGCTTATCTAATATGACGGTGCTAAAAAACACAGAACAGTGCATCGTCTTAGTCTCTTCCTCCTGGGGAGAGCCCTCTGATGGGGCTGTCCTTGTGTGCTGTATTTAGAGAAGGGTGTGGGGTGAGATTTCTTGATCTGCTTTAACATGCTGAGCCTCTTTATCTTAATGTCACTGTGTTCAGTCTCTTCTGTTCGCGACCTGTTATCTGCTGAAAGGGAATTATGAAAATATTACAAAACGCTTGTGCATTTTGCACTGCACTGGGCTGCAATGACAGCCTCTACTAGTAATTTCGCTATCTGTGGTTAGGGGAGAGAAAGCGTGTCATGCAGCACATGAAAGATCACCCTGCTCTTTATACAGTTACAATAAGTTTGCGTTTTAATCGGGAAACTCTCGCTTGGTTTGCCCAGGAGTTATTAGATTGCAGAGAAGAGGTGCGAAATGATGATTTCAGCTCAGTCCCGCACATGCCGAGTGCGATACTACGCTGAGATTTCGGGAAATGTCTTGCAAAACACTTACTCACCGTGCTAGGGGGCTCGGTGCTTGTTGGCGTTGTTTTAAATAATCTTTGCTTGCTTTGAGCCCGTCTTAAAGTTACACGTATGCAGTTAGCATGAATGGAACTCATTCAGTGATCCCTTTACTGGATGACCTCTGTACATTGTTAGTTGTTTGAAGAACCAATGGGGCATTTTTTCAGAGAGTGGTTTATATGGGCATTGTTTTGCTGAAACTCCGAAGAAAGTCTTATGTTGATTAGCTGTCCTTGGGGCGGGTGGCTTTTCCTCTTCAACGCTGCAGAGTGTCATCAGAATGAGTGTGAACATGAGTGTGCGTTCCTGGTCTGAGGTACGCTTGCTGTTTGAATCACTGGAAATCCCAGGGCCCAGTCTGCGCTTCCCAGACGGCCCAGTCATGCTCCAGTCACATGCCTGGGCTGGGAGAGAGGAAGTGCAGCTGCTGTGGAGGTACGATAGAGGAGCGTGCCGGACTCGGGGCCCGTTTTCCTTTCAGAGGTGTGAAAAGCCAGTCCACAGTGCCAGACCAGACCACGCTACGGAAGGGCCGGGGTTGAGTGTGCGGCTCCCCTTTATCAAACTATTCTTTCACAAAAACCGGTGGTCAAATTACAGGCAGTGTCCAATCGTGGTCTGTTTTTCTCAGACTTGTTACAGCCCCTGAGCTGATGCAGTGGTTTTCAGAGTTTAGAGTTATGGCTGATGCTTTCATCCACAGTGTCTTAACATGTGAACCCTGGGCATTTTCCCTAGCCAAGGGGATGAAAATCCTGTGTTCACAGATATGCCGATACTTCAAGGGGGTCTTCCCTTTGAGAGCAGAGGCCTCTATTAATGTTTTATGGGAAGATTTAACGAAAAATAACAAGAATTCATTGCCTCGTACTCATTTCAATTCTCATGCTCACTTGGGATTTGAAACAGTTTTGGGCCCCCTCTGCTTCTCTTTCCTGGAAGGACCGACTGCAGGCAGCTGTGCAGGATTCCCAGATATTACCCTTTGAATCCCCTCGATGCTTGGTGAAAACCTGAAGCATTTACCAGCAGACCTGAGTGTCTTACAGTAACTCTGTGGAAGCTGACAATAACTGAGACATGCATTTGCATGAATGAGCTTCTCAAGTGGGAAATGAAAACTCCCGATTGGACTGACAAAGATCGGTCTGATGCATGAGTTCATTTCTAGACTGCAGAAAGACCTACTTCTCCTTGCCTCTTCCTTCTTTCTGCGGGCTGATGGCAGTACTGTGCTGCTCTGCCTTCTGCCTGTAGCGCTGTCCTGACTGGCTGCCTTGGTGTGCTCTGATATCTGTCACCTGGTCTGTCCTTCGGGACCCTCGGGGATTACGCATGGAGACAGAAAAACTGAGAAGTAAGAATTAAACAGCAGAGAAAAGAAGAAAAGAGGGTTTTTTTCTATCTAAAAATCCCTTTTCAGAAATGATACTGAATGCTAAATGGTTTCCTCTTTTGCAGTTCACCCAATGACAAAAAACTAGAATAATACTCCATTACTAGGTTTTACACAGCCATGTCTTGCCACAGGTCTAAGGGATTACAAAAGAGAAGTCTATTAAATTGGGCAGTAGGGTGTCGTGACAGTTAGCCAGCAGCCATATCACTCTGCAACTCACAACTGGCAGCCCACTGGAGCTCAGCAGGTGTGAGCCTGGTCAGTACCTGGATGGGAGACTCCTGGGAAAGCTAAGGTTGCTGCTGGAAGAGGTGTTAGTGGGGCCAGCAGGGGGCGCTCTCACCCTGCGGTCTGTGTGGGTCCTAATGCCCCAGTATAGTGACGGGGACACTATACTGTAAACAGGTGCCGTCCTTCGGATGAGACGTAAAACCAAGGTCCTGACTCTCTGTGATCATTAAAAATCCCAGGGTGTTTCTCGAAAAGAGTAGGGTTGTAACCCCGGCGTCCTGGCCAAATTTCCATTGGCCCTTACCAATCATGGCCTCCTAATAATCCCCATCTATTCTTTGGCTTCATTACTCTGCTCTCCTCCCCACTGAGAGCTGATGTGTGGGGAGTGTTCTGGCGCACTATGGCTGCCGTCGCATCATCCAGGTGGGGCTGCACACTGGTGGTGGTGGAGTGGAGGGCTTTGAGTGGAGTGTCCAGAAAAGCACTATATAAGTGTTAGCAATTATTATTATTATTAGCACTGCAGCCTCAGAGCTCTTCTGTCCTGGGTTCAAGCCCTGCCTGATCTGCCATCTGTGTGCAGTTTGTCAACTCTTGCCTTCACATGAGCTTTCTCCCAGTGCTGGCTGGGTTAATTGGTGTGTCTCTAAATTGCTCCTTGGTGATTGTGTTTTTGTGAAGCCTGGTATCCAAGAAGTAGGTGCTGCCTTGTGCCCTGTGATTCCAGACTGTCATAAGTAGCAGCTTTCTGATAATTGACAGATTTTATTTTTTTTTGGGACAAGCCTGGTTTCTAATAGAGGACGGTCTTTATGATTCATCACCGGCTTGATTCTAAAAATGCAGAACCCCCTACCCCTGAAGTCTTCAAGCATTAACCCCTGCTTAGCCCTCCTCCTTTTAAGTAGCGTTTTATATCTTTGGGTTCAGAGCACTCTGAATCCCCTTCCCCTTTCTCGTGTGAACCCACCGGGCAGTGGGGGCTCCGCTGCAGTCGCTGTGGAAGCATCACAGCTCTGATTAGGGCAGGGGGAGGCAGGCGGGGCAGAAGAGTGAAGAGGGGAACACGCCGGGGGGCTTAACTGTTGAGGGGCAGCCAGTGTGTGAACCTTCACCTGACACCTGCCGGGACAGCCGCAGGAGTGCGGAGGCTGTGGACCATTGATGGGTTGTGCTGTGCATAGTGCGTAGTGGTGTGAAACAGTCCCGCCCAAATCCTAAGAGAAGAGTACTGAATCGATTGTGTAAGTGTTCACAGGTTCCTGCGAAGCCTCCCACAGGGTGCTGTAGACATTCATTGAGCAGCACTCCCGTACAGAGATTGAATGGTTCTTCTGGATCGTCATATCATTTGCTTTTGCCCCCCTTTAACAAATATTTGATTATTACAGTTGATTTGTTCAGGTGATGATTTGATCCAAAGGAAATTAGATGTATACTCATTTACTCAGCTGGGTGTGTTACTGCAGCAGTCTGAGGGAAGGGCCTGACTTGTGACTCAAGCCAGCAACCTTCCAGTTAAAAACCCAGAGCTCGGGCCACTGGCCCACACTGCTGGAAACACATGTATTGTCACACCTGTTTCCTTCCTTTCTCTTTTCCCGAGTGGAAGTTTGTGCAGTGTTTCATGAGATCTGCAGTGAATCCTTTCACACTCTTTCTCATGCGGTCATTCCTCCACGCACACAAACCTGTAAAGGTCGCCCTAAAATAACGAACGGGCCGTTTGTCGTCTTCCAGATGGAGGATGTGAAGAGGGAACTTAACGAGCGGCACAAAGTCCTGCCGGGGCTCCACGCTCGCCTCACGGAGATGGAAACGCGGTATGATGAAATCCGAGAAAAGACCAAGCAAATGGAACTGAAGATCGGAAGCATCCAGGTGAGTAGTGCTATTGCATCAATCCGTGCGTGCGTTTTTCTTTAAGGCAATGAGCTTGAATTAAATGTGCAAAAACTTACACTGGCGTTAAAAAAAAAAAAAAAAAAAAAAACACTTCCCGACCCCAGCTCATTTATTCATTGGTGCCTCCAAGCCGCTGTCTGAAATTCCAGACAGTCGCTAGGTGAGAATCCTGGTTTCCACGGCAACTGCCAGACCCGCGCTGCGGCAGGGGTTTGGCGGAGAGAGAGCTATCGCCTTCCACACCGACACACCCTGGAGAAAGACTGCGCCCCGGCTTCTGATCCGGGGCCAGGCCTGCCTGTGTGGCCTGGTGTCAGGTCTCGAATCCTGCAGTTGAGCATCAAAACAAACTGAGGGACCTTAACGCTCCGGCCCGTGTCTCCAGTTGAATGAGCCTTTTATATTTGCCCTCGTCAGCCAGTAGAGATCGGTAGCCGTGGAAAAATAACAAAATAATCAACTTGCCGTTTTATTCTCGTTGAACGTTTCCCCATTATCTTACCACGGCTGCTCTTGTGAGTCGTCGTGAATACCCTTATACTCGTACAGTGTCAAGTTCTTGAAGACCCTCTGCGTCTTCAGCCTGTGCAGTCGGCATCACTTGCAGTGGATCACTGTGCTTCCCTTCCCCCGTCGTGAGCACGTGCGTGGGAGGGAGCGAGAGAGCGCAGACGAGGACAGGCCCGTCAGACAGCTCGCGGGACTCGGGTTTCCTGTCTGTGCCCTCGGAGGGAGCAGCTCCCTCTCGCCCGCCAGCCCCTGAGCACGTGCGCGCCGGCGAGCCCATCGAGGAGAGGCTCCCCCTGGTGTCTGTCGGCCATCAGAGCTATCCTCGGCCGCGCCGTCTGAGGGCTGTCCTCTTTCTCCCCCCCCCGTCCAAGCAGAAGCTGGCCAGCTCGCACTCGGAGAAGCTGCTGGAGATGGAGATGGAGGTCCGGTCCATGCGGATGGCCCGGGAGGAGATGGAGACGCTGCGCGGGACGATGGAGGCCATCCGCAGCCGGGTCACGCTGCTGGAGGGGGGCCGGGTCGTGCCCAGCACCGGCACACACACACTAGGCAAGTTCTGCTCGACCCAGAGCACGCCCCGCGGCGCTGCTGCAAACCCCTCTGCTTACCTCTCCGGGGGGGCGATTTCACATGTGACCCGAGCGTGCCTCTGGCCCGCCCAACGGGAGAAACGTGCTGCTCGTTTGTTTCTTCTGTACCTACACCAACTCCAAAGTGCAGAATCAGTCACCCTGCTGACCTTGTCCCGAACCCACAAAAGTCAGAGAAATCGTACTCTCATGTGTCGTAGGAGATAGTCTCGGTGTAAAGATTAAAGTAACAGAGAGCTCATCTCATTCCTTTGAGTCTAGAGTAAAGTGTAGATGGATTGTTTTCTGCTTCTGTATTGTTTTGAGATTTTAGTTTTAAATAACAGCAGTCCCCCGTAGCATTTCTTATTGCTGAAACCTCTGCAGGAGACCCCTTTTGCCTGGCTGTACAGCCTGAGGTGAAGAATTGACCTTAATAGGTAGTGGGGTGCAGTTTCTGCAGCCACACAAGAGAACAACACTGGCATTCAGACATAATTGACCCCCAATGGTACAATTAAATAGTTCATATGACTAAAATAATGCCAATATCATACCAGTGGTTTATAATCAAGGATTAAAATTAAATACAGGATTTTCTTATACAAGGCGTGTCCAGCACATTCAGTTTCCTAACCCTAGCACTTGGGGGAAAAATTGCTTCTGACCACTGAAGCAAGCGATGTGTTCAGTGAAATGGTTTAGACGCCAACTTCTTGCAGCTCTGAAGGACCACAGCCGGCCACCAGTGGCTTCATTGAACCGATTGAGTAAACTAACTGAAACAAATGTTTCACGTGTTGTTTTTTTTACAAAACCATTCAGAAGAGGCATAGACAACCTGCTGGGCTGTATACAAGTATTGATAACTTATTTTCGCAATACAAATAGGATAATTCTCCACAGATTGTAGTTATATGAAAAAAAAAGTCCTCATTTTCGTACTGTACTTTTAGATCATATAAATTCTAACAATTTTCAGAGCGTTCAGTTTATTAAGCTGTGAACGGCTTTCTTTGTGCCCCAAGCACACGAAATGACTGATTTTCCAATCAAGCATCAGGAAAAACTGAAGCCCGTACGGCAGATATCCGAGACACTTTGCCGTGTCCTGTGTGTCCCGTGTGTCCTGTCAGAGGAAAGGGGGCGCTCATCATCCTCTTGTTGCTTTCTGTTGGCGCTGCTGTCCGCAGGCACTTTAGAGACGCAGATCTCCCGGCACGACAACATGCTGAGCATGCACGAGATCCGCCTGGCCGACATGGACCTCCGCTTCCAGGTCCTGGAGACCGCCAGCTACAACGGCACGCTCATCTGGAAGATCCGCGACTACAAGCGGCGGAAACAGGAGGCCGTGGCCGCCAAGACCCTGTCCCTGTACAGCCAGCCCTTCTACACGGGGTACTTCGGCTACAAGATGTGCGCCCGGGTCTACCTCAACGGGGACGGGATGGGCAAGGGCACGCACCTGTCTTTGTTTTTCGTGGTGATGCGCGGGGAGTACGATGCCTTGCTGCCGTGGCCTTTCAAGCAGAAAGTGACGCTCATGCTGATGGACCAGGGCTCGTCCCGGAAGCACCTGGGGGACGCCTTCAAGCCAGACCCCAACAGCAGCAGTTTCCGGAGGCCGGTGGGGGACATGAACATTGCCTCGGGCTGCCCGCTGTTTGTGGCGCAGACGGTGCTGGAGAACGGGACGTACATAAAGGACGATACCATATTTATTAAAGTGACAGTCGACACCTCTGACCTGCCTGACCCTTGACCTCTGTCCCAGCCCGTGGGGCAGCTGTCAGATGGCAGCGCATGCGAATAGAGCAACAGCGGCTCAAGGGTGCTCCTCTGTCCCACAGGACGGAGGCGCGTCCCAGGGGAGAGAAGACCCCAGACAAGACAGCCGTAAGGGGCACTGGGGGACAAGAGCTGGGTCAGCAGGCTACAGGAACACAGTGGATCTTTCACAGGGGTTTGAAGGTTCATCGGTGCTCAAGATACAAGTTAATATAACAAGTTATGCAGAAGAGAGAGAGCTTGTTTTTTTTTTATGAGATAGTACAGTTTGCTGTCTTTCCCCAGACCTGCAGAGCAGAGGCTGCAGCACACTCTCACCGTGACTACCCCCAGAGTTATCGTTAGGGTCCTGAAGGGTCAGGGGTGGAGGGGTGCGGCCCAGTGCATTTGGGACGAGTGGAGTTGTGCACAGCTGGAGTGGCTGTATGCCGAAGGCCGCAGGACAGCCCCAGCAAGAGCCGGTGTCGTACACAAACCGGATGGAAGGAACCTGGGCGAGGTACCCTGAATCGCTGCCATGGAGTCAGCTGTAAGACTAGGGATCGAGCACCGAGGCCGTCCTGCGCAGAGCAATAACAAACTGTCTTCCATCTGTGCTAAACCAGTGAAAGTTCCTACACATGTGCTCTTAATGTGATGGACAGATCAAGTTGATCTCCACATTATTTAAAGTCAAGACTCTGCAGCTTTTACCTGAGATTTTCATAAACACCATATTGGCCTTTAAAGTGCTGTTTTGTTTTTATAGGCATCTTAACAAGACCTTTGATTATAATCAAGAATAGCTGTACCTTGCTCTCGTTAGTAATGAGAAAAATGTCTGAAGTTCTTTTTCAAGGCTTTTTTTTACCCCCTGTACTTTGGAGGTTTATCAAATTTGAAACACTTCTTAATCCAAGGTATCGGCAATATTTTTGTTCAGGTGTGAATTGTTAACGCGTTTATTATTGCAATTCCAAGCACCAGATCTGTTCTGAGGTATCTGGGAGATTTTGAGAATCCTGTGATGAGATGTGCATTGTATCTGTCTCTAAAATTAGTTGGCCTTTTCAGACATCTGTATTGTAGAAATCTGGGACATGTCACTCCTTGTCAGTGGGAGTAGGTGTGCTGAGGGCCCTGGGGCACTGCTTGTTCCTTTCCTGCACTGCAGTGCGCTGTATCCCTATACAGCTGTTTGCATTGCTGTTTGCCAGATAACTTTATATGCACCCTGGAATTGTGATGACTTTTCTGTGATTTACAAAGTGTAGCTAAAGCTGTGTGAAATTCATGGGTGGATTCAAACAAATGGTTATCTTGGTTTTCAGTTCAAGACCTCAAGACGTTAGTCAAGCCACAGTAATATTATTATAATTATAATTAGCATGCCAAATCAGTACCACATCAATAACTGTTGGAGTGATCTCTTTCATTGCTTAAGTGCCACCAATTAAGAGAGCTGTACAAGCCGAATTCAAAGATGTCGTTTTTGTTTAAAAAGGTTTGTGTAACTTCAGTCATTCATAAGAGTGTTATTTAAGCGAGTAATAGACACTTGCATAAATAACAAAATCGCTACAATTTCAGTTACCTTTCAGAAATTGACATAAGTCCCAATTAGGCCTTTTGCTCAACAGCAAATAGTGTTGCTTAATTAGCCAGGAGTAGACATTAATAACATGCTTTTCAAATCTTTATTTTTCTGTTGTTCAAGTGTAATTACTTTAAAGCCTATTAATGAGCAGTTCCTCTGACTCGGCTATATTGCATCAGTCATGTTTTTGACTTTTCATTTGGGCTGGTTGAGCAATTAAGCAGCAATATTCAATTTTGCAAAGACGTGAATGATACTTTGGCATTGATTTTAAATGGGTTTTAAAACTCGTCCTGGCTCATAGTGACCCAAAAGCTTACAGAGCCATGTGATTACAGATGATGGAAAGTATTTACACATTTCTTCTAAGGCAACACTATTTCAAAACCGTGAATACCTAGGATTAGTCACAGGGGTGAAAATGTGAATGGTCTTCAGCAGTGGTATCAGTCTTGGTGGCTTATGATCACTGATGTATGTTACTGATTTAGCAGTGATTTCAAAAACCAAGCCCTTCTTGGGCAGCTGGCCAGAGAACAGGGAATTCCAATGAGTAATAACTGTGCCTTATTATGGGAGGTGAAATCTAAGTTGCTAACAGCAAGAGTGCTGATTGCTCAATAAAAACTTGATTAACATTTTGAGGTTTTGGACTCACTGGGTAAATTGGTTGATTGAAACCCACCAGTTAAACTTGCTAGACCTGTCATAATACACAAAACCAGTATAATAGATGCTGTGCATCGTTGTTTACATTTTACAAAAGTTGAAATAATTACTCTATTCATAACTCCAGCCACAGCTAACAAGCGAAATTAGATGAAACCTGTTAAGTCTGGTGGTTGAGGGAGAGTCACTTTATTTGCACAATTTATTTCTGAATGTATAATACATAGGAAAATTTGTTGTCATTTTGAGACAATTCAAAACAGTAGTTTTCATAAATGTAGTACCGACTATTTTGGTATTACTGGAAAATCTGTTTCTATGTTTCTTATTAAACTTTTGGTTTAAAAGCGGTGTCTGTTGTGTTTATTTCTCTGATGTGCAGAAAGGTTGATGTTAAAGGTCTGTGATCATCATCTGCACCAAGGTTTAATATTAACATCGCCCCTTGTGCCGTTTAATTTTATTTACTGCAGCATTTGTATACTAAGGTGAAAGAGCAACAAGGGACAGCTCATGCTTTCAAACCCTTGTCAGACTAGAACAGTCTGAAAAATAAGGCATTGTTCGTATATTTACATGTGTTGCTTAGATCTTGGTTTCCTCTTTTTATATTTGATGATTAAAACGGGCGGGAACATAATTAAGTATAAGAGCACTGCACTGCTGTGCTTGCAGTTTGTCATCTCAGTATGAGCAAACCTCCACCAAGCTATACCTTCAGCTGGCTTGCAGTGTGTTAATTCTGGGAGCTGTGCTTGGAGGCACCAGACTGAAACTGCACGGCGTCCTCCTACAGCAACAGGTCTTCCTTCCCTTTTAAGCACATACAGTAAACCCACGGGTCGAGAACACATTTACATCTGAAGTCACCCCTATCAGAATGGGTAAATCTCTGAACTAGGTTACTGTGAGTCATGAAGGCTTTCTCGCACGCACACAGTTACCTGCAGAGCCTGTCCTCTCCTCTCACCCAGCTCTGCCAAACCAGCGCCAACGTCTTGGCCCTTCCCACATCTTCTCAAGTATCGCGGTTAGATGTGGAAAAAAAAAATGAAAGGGTACCAGGATTTCATAAGACACCTCTGACTTCAGCTCTGTGCATGATGACGCACTTCCTGCTGCAATTCATGGGATCGGGTAGTTAAGAGGAGGAAAAGTGTATTTTCTACCTATTAATCCTTCAAAACGTCATGTGGTTGTTTCCTGTGTGTTTAGACGTTTCACCTTCTGGAGATCGGTGTACAATGCAGGTGCCTCTCCGAATGTTGCGTATCCAAACATGCCCAGTCAAGCACAGGCAGACCCAGTTTCCACTGGGTGCTTGTGAAACCCACTAACAGTGAGAATTCTGTGTTAACAAAAAATTCCAGTCTTCATCGTCAGGGATGTTGTGAGAGGGCAAAGAGGCAGCTGTACTTCATTTTCATGGGCTGTAACACATAAAACACACAAGGAACTCTTGGTCTGCTGTGAATGAACTCTGTATTGAAAGCCTAATTGAAATGTACCTATACAGTTCAATTACAAGGTGCAACATCTTGCCACCTTGTCGAGCTTAAGGAAATCGGAAGGGAGTTTACTCCATCAATTGATGTAAGGGGGGGGACGCTCAGATTCTAGGGGAATTAGGCTGAAAGTCCTTTTCAAGTGCAAGCATGGCATTTCCTGAGTGCCACGTTTCATGATTGTAGATTCAGTGAATGTTTGACAGCCTATCGGCCTATAAAGCTTAATTTTTACTGGAGCCCAGTTTTTCCTTTGACTGAGTCTGCTGCTCATCATGTGACGGAGGCTCAGCCTGAGGAAGGGCAAAGGCTGCCTTTCAGGTCCCTGCAAGATACTCCATCATGGCTCTCAGGCTGTTTGTCTTCCTTTGCCTGCTCAGTAAGTATCTACTTACACATTCTGCTCGCTGGAGAAAAAGGGGGAATTTGGGGAGTTTAATTTAAAAATGTTGTGCTACTGTAAACTTTCTTATTGTCTTAAATCTGACCTGGGAACAGGACTCTTATTGTTAGTCTCTGTAATAAAGCTCCTTTTATGTGAACTAGAAATCTTCAAGTTCTGTTTTTTTTTTTTTGCTGTAATTATGCTTAACGGAACAGTTGAATTAAGAACTTGTTTTCAGTTGCTTAGTTATTGGAAATTTCAAGTTACTGGCCTACCAAATGGTTTAGGTTTCCAAAAATCATACATTTTCTAAAGAGTCTGATTAAATAGCTGATTTAAAAAAAACACGTTAAGAGTTCAGTTGAAATCATCTGTGGTATAATAACTGTAGAAGAGACAGCACAACTCTGATGCAGGAAGCTTCAAATGGTTCTGAGCAATGATTTGCATAATATTATATGCAACATGTGATGTAGATACACATTGCAGAGTATGAATCCAATAAGTATTTACATGGTTTAGTGGAAAAATTCGTTATAGGAATTCTGCTACGTTATACTGTTAACGGGCCACTAAAATGAATGATAATATAGCGCTAGAAAAAGTACTGATGTCAAGTATCATAAGGTTGTGATGGTCTGCACATCATTGTAATGGCAGACCCAGAGAAATGAGTGTCATCCAGTTGCAAGGAATGATTGAATGACTTGTTTTTCTGAGCCCCAACTCTCTCTCTCCAGTAGGAGGATCTGTAAGAGCAGTGATCTGATACCATTGCTTTTAATCCTGGATAAACCTGCTGGACATGGTTAATTACCAGATGAAATCATGTATTTTACTGTAAGGTTAAGCGGTCAGGTTAAAACAATGATACTAACCCCCCAACCAAACAAATCCTTCAGCAGCATTTTCTCTTGTTTCGTCTAAGCCTGATATACTGTTACAGTTTTCCGCCATTGCGTTTGGACTGGTTTCAGACGGGGTAGACCCAGGATGGATGCTGATAAGGACTGCGTGTGCTTGTGCCTTGTTCACACAGCTGCTGTGTTCTTTTCTCAGGCGCCTCCCGTGCTCTGTACAAGCAGTGGATTCCAGACACGAACTTTGAACGGGCCAGCAACTGGGACAAGGAGAGAGTGCCCTGTGCCAATGACAGGCTCAGCTTTCTGCCTCAGAAGGTACCCAGCCTCTTCACACGTCAACACGTTTATCTAATGAACTTTACGTTTAAAGGCAACAAACACCATCTCCGTGAAAATGTAACTAAGTGTTTTTTTTTTATGCTCCGTTTCCAGGAAGTGTCTGTGTATGTCCAGTCTGCCCACTCCATCTCTGAAATGGTACGTAGAGCAACTTTGAGTGGATTGGTGCTGGAGCAGACTAGCAGTGCAGTCTGCTACGCTTGTGGAACCACCTGGCATGGGGTTTCATCTGTTAGTGTGGAAAGCCCCTGTACTTGCTAATGGGATCGGAGAAGCCTGGCCAAAACTGCCTTTTGGTACCTTGCTGGTTACTATTCCAGGAATGAGTGGTTCTTCCATTAACTCATCTCCTCTCCCTCTCTGCCATGGTTCTCACACTGCCACACGCACGCAGGCACAAACTCATCACACACTCCTTCAGTTCCAGGAGCCTCTGGGATTTCCAACCACAGGTGATGGGGACGGAGGAATTTGCATGTTCAGTGTTATCAGATCTAGGTGGTGTCTCAGCCTCACACGAGCCATAGCCCTGGTACGAGAGGATTTCGAAAAAGATCAGAGCTGTGCTCCAAACCTCCCTCCCTGTGGTTCTGTTGTCAGAGATCTGCCCGGCAGCAAACACAATGAAAATAAAACGTGTGATGTTTTGCCTTTGTTTGCCAGCAGAAACCTGCCATTTGTCCCTCTTACTGTGCGTAAGCTCAGTGTAGCTGACAGGGTGGAGAGTGGAACAGTCAGTGATCACTTTACAGGAAATCTTCTGGAGTGAAACAGGTCTTTAACTGACTTCATAAGGCCACAGGCCTACGTAGAAGCATTCTGTTTAGAATCAAGTTATAAAGAAAGCCTTTCTTCAAACACCGTCCAAGTTGGTATTTAAATCATGAAGATGGCAGAAACTTCAACCCAAACTAAGGTTAGCTCACCGGCTGCGTCTGCTGCCCAAACATGTTGCCAGTTTTAAATGACAACCGTGACCCAGGATAGGCAATTACCGAACATCTTCAGGCACACGGACTGAATATCTAAGTAGAGACAATTATCTCCCCTGCCCGCAGTGCTAGGCTTTGGCAAGTTAAACTTGGTGTGTGGTTTTGGCAGTCAAACGCGCATGACTTGGCAGAGATGTGTGAATGAAGCCTCCTGTTGTGAGTAAATACCTGCACCCGACTGATCCCAGTGCACACCAGCACTGCTCTGACAATTGCAGCTTTCAACCCCAGTGCCGAACATTCTGGCTGTGGGCATTCTTTCTCAAGCTCCAGAGCCTCAGCTCTGAGCCTTTCAAGTCACACACACACAAACCAATCTCAAAGACACTCTGTAAATCTTGTTGAGGTAACTCAGATTGCCAAGCAACCCAACTAATCTCGTTGTTAAAAACACATCTCATTTACACAGTTACAGTTCTCCATTTCATGATTTGCTGATTTTCTACGGAATCCACCTAGTTTTGTATTCTATTTTATTCAGGGGAATACTAGTGGACATTTGCACCTGTCAAACTGAAAATTCTTTTTAATCTGGGCTTGTTTTAGGCCTCTTCTGTTATTCCCCATATTTGATTGCTTTCAATACAAGCCTTTTATCTGCTGTTTTTTGTACCATGTTAATCTCTTGTGAAAGCAGTAAATATTCGCGTATCGTAAATATGATCGCCATTTGTTTTTCCTGTTTAAAAAAGCAATGAGTAGATGAGCAGATTAAATTTCCTGCCTGAAAAGTGGTTGTTTAGATTCTTCTGCTCCTTAACAAGGTCACACTCAGTTGGGCTTTAAGTTTTATAGAAGATAAAGTCCAGAGTTCGGCTGTCACCTAGCTGAACTGCATGTGAACAGCCGCCTTGTATCTGAACCTTTCCTCATTTTTTTCCTCCAAGGGTAACTTCTGAAATAGCTCCAAAACACTGTGACTTTCATTCTGAGTGCTCCACTGGGACTGAACAGAAAATCCCCTGCTTGGTAGAGCACATCCATTGTTTAGAGGATGTGGGTATTTTGTTCCCATGCTTTTGGAAGAGAAATTATAACCTGAAGGGGGAAAATGACATATTTACATATGAAAGTTATGTATTAGTCTATGACAGATGCTTTATTGATCCTGTGAGGGAAATTGCAGTGTAACAGCAGCTTAACAGACACAGCCACAGTGTAACGAATGATACAATCATCATAATAATACAATACAATCAGTACAGTGAGAAGTGCACTAAGAAGAGTTACTCACAGTCCAGAACACACAAAGAACAAACCGGTACACAAAAAAGTCGTATTGCACAATATAAATATAAAATATGGACAATGAAACAAAAAAAAAATAGCAGCAGAGAGCTGTCTTCCCACGTCTTGGATGCATTTTGGTGCAGTCCTAAACTACTGAAGTAATTAGTGTGGGGTGTGTTTGTTTGGGGTGGTGCCTCACTGTCTGTTCAGGCTCGTCTGGCTTGGTGTCAAGTTTGCAAGAAGCTGTCACAGTTGATGACTCCAACAAAAAAAAAAAAACAAATGAACTTTCATTTTCACTCTGACGCTGTGTGCTCTGTACTTCTCTGTTATTAGGATAAATGCTTCCTGTTCTTTGAAAAGATAGTAAGCTTCCTCTCCCTCTCTAGTAAATTGGTCATTTTTGGTTAGTGCTTCAGATCGCTGAGGTCTGCATTGTCACATCTGCACTTCTGACGACACTCTCTCTGTGGTGTAAGAACAGTGTGCACCGGAAGAACAGCTGCGCTCAGTGGGAAACAATGGGTGTAAGAATCAGCTTATTTCATTGATGTAGTTGTGGACTTACCACAAAATGTCTGACACACAGATTCCTGCTCCTTTGGAGTCTGGTTTTTCATATTTTCCCAGGCACGGCGCGCCTCTGCTCCGTACTTAGGCGACAGTGATGCAGGCTGACAACCCCAACAATCAGAACACAAGCAGGCCATTGGTGCCGTTCAAACTGCTTACATTCAAGAGGGCTCATTAACAGTCCCGTGTGCTCTCATGTCCTGGTAAAATAAAAATGTGAAGTGCAACTCAGTTACAAAGAGACAGTGGTATCATTTCAGCAACCTGATTGTGCCTGCTGCTCTGAGCAAGTTTGGAGCTGCAGAACCCTTAGGACAAAATATGAAGTTCTGAAAGGGAGATCTTCCATTTGCTTCAGTGCAAGGGGCTGGTTGATGCATTTTGAGCGTTGCTGACAATGTGCTTGTGCTCCAGACTTTGCCCAGGGACGGGGAGTTCATCCTGGCTCCAGACGCAGGCTTCGTGGCCAGTGATGGACTGGAGGCGGGCTGTGAAGGAGGTGAGCAACAGGACAGTACCTGGACCTGGTGTCTGTTCAACTAATCACCTGATCTGGTCTGTGCTAATCCTGTAGGTCTGTACTTCACTAACTGAACCTTGATTGTACTCTTGTCCTGAGTCTCTGTTGCAGTAGCAACCTTTCACACAGTGTTATTCTGATGGTGTAAAAGCTTTGTTTCTAGAATACATGTGAGCATCTGCACTTTATTTGTGTCTTCATACCAATCCCTGTGTACCTGTTCGTAACTCTCTGCATTATTTTACTGTGCTGTAATCCACGTGCTGGACCACCTGTTTTTATGTCAGTGTGCATGAGCTATTGCACTGTGTGTTCTGTCCTGTGGAGGCGACACAATCACCTTCAAGGATGCTGATGGACTGCAGTGGTTTGACCCTGAGCTGTGGCAAGCGGCTTCTTCCTCCGATGACCTGGAGAAAGGAAACTTCCTGTTCTCTGTGCACGCGGAGAGTGTGCCCTGCCAGTACGATGACGTCATCTTCAGGCCTGAGACCTCCTTCCGAGTTAACACTTCTGCTGACACACCCAGAATTCCCGTGAGAAGTGTTTCTATTCTGGGCAAGGTGAGGAAGAGGTACCTCTGAGACAGCAGGGGGGAGAGTGAGCGGGAGCACAGCGAGGGGTGCAAGGGAAAAGACTGGGAGGGTGGACAGGAGAGACAGAGGGGGACGGTGTGGGACAAGTTGGGTCAGTTGGGGGGCAGGGATGAGATTCAAGGAAGGAAGTTCTGAGGGGATACAGTGAGAGATCTCCCAGTCCTGCTGGGGGAGGAAACTCAATAGAGCCAGCAGCCTAGTATGTGATCTCCTGTCACAGCTATATATATTATGTTTGTGCTGTAAATGTCTGTTAATGTTGTGTAAACTGTATCCACTTTGGCAGCACTGTAATTCATGGACCATGCTAGTAAAGCCCCTTCATTTCGCTTCCATTCGTCTCCCCTTCCTCAAGGTTTTTGTCCGGACGTCAGGCCAGCCCTCTCCTCTCTTGCCCTGCCCCCTCTCTCACGCGCCCCTCTCTGCTCTCTGTGTTGTCAGCGGTTCAGCAGGGAGCCCCAGTTCTCGCAGTACCTCCAGTCTCCCTTGGGCAGACTGCAGTTCCACGGAGACCACAGCCCCCAGGTGACCGGCTCTCGCTGCACTGACCCCTCGGGCTGCCTCTGTGGGAACTCGGAGGTGAGTCCGGCAGGCTTCTCCCCACACCGGGCCGGGTACTGCAGACAACTGACGGCCTGGATAAGGCTGCTGCATTTGTTTTTTTTTAAATGCAAACAAACTCTTGGTATTCTAAAATATGTCTAAATAGATATTTATACAAAAATAACTTGGCTTCCAAAATGACTTTTGACTTTTTGAGTTGGAAGTATTATTCTTGCTGGTGGTCCATCTTTTGTGCAGCACTGCAACCAATGTTTCTAGACGTGAGTTTTCGTCACAGCCGAGATCTCCCTGTACCCACAGTTCCTTCCTCTACTGCTGAAACAGACAGTGCTCGATAAAGACCACAGGAGGGCGACATCTGTCCTCAACAAGCACCTCTGTACTTGAACACTGATGCCAGAGTTTAGGGACCCGAGGGATTTCGAAATAGAATTAATCTCTCGGCAAATTGCAGGCTGTTTTAGCATTACCTGAAAACCTCTTTGTAGTTTGCTCCAGTTTAGATCCAGGCTGGAGACAACCGCGTTGGGACGAAGGTAGAGGACAGACGTTAAAGTTATAGTCAGAGCTGTTGGGGTCGAGGTGGACCTTTGGGAGTCAATGAGAACCTACTGTAGCCCTGCTGCTAGAGCTCTTCGAAGAAGTGGCTGAATCAGATCTTGGGGTGACTTACTGGCGGGCTAACTAGACAGGGGGAATGATCTGAAGTTGGATTAGGCTGTAACATCCGTTAGGGTTGGTGTTTGAAATGGTGCACGGTAGAGAAATAAGGTTTGGGTTAAGGAAATTGGACTAGGGCTTGCTTTAGGATTAATGGTAGCCTTGTCCCCCAGTAGTGTTGGATTAGACCACCACCCTCTTTCATCCTAACCATTTTAATTGCTTTCATTCAGAATCACCAGCGGATCTGCTCGGCTATTACCCAGAATTGTCCACAACTGGATTGTAAGACACCCCTCCAGCCCACGGGACACTGCTGTACTGTGTGTGGTGAGGAGGCCCATCTCTCTCTCTTTCTCTCTCTAAAGTAGAGAGATAACTCATAGGATCTTAACTGGCTCACAGGCCATACTGCACAACAGCAGCATCTGGTGTCTGGTAACTATCCAAATATAAGGACACTGCTAAAATGTGTCCCGGCTACCACTCAAAAACCTATTTCCACTGCTAAAAAAAGGATCATGTAGGTAGATGCTTCAGCATGCAAAGGAACAAATAAAGGTTTTCTCCATGCTGAAAAGAATAGAAAAGAGAAACAATGTTTTGGCTGTGGAGCCTTCTCCAGGTCTGATGAAACATTGTCTCTGTTCTTTTTAAGCATGGAATAATCCTTTGCTTGTTCTGTTAAAAAAGGATTCCCGGCCCAGAACGCATTATATTGTGTTTCTCATTGCCTCTCACCCTGTTTAAATGCACATTCTTATTATAATTGTCTGGCATGAATGCTCACCCAGAATTGACTGTACATGGTGTGAAGCATGCAGTGAAACAAGGTGCTCGTTTCTGATGTCTGTCTGCGTGTGTGTTCCAGGTGCGATAATCACCCTGCAGTTCTCACAGGAGTTCAACCTGGAGTCATATCGCGCTCGACTGCAGCACCTCTTCCTCAGCCAGGTGAGATGACTCATGACCCCCCCTCCCCCCGGGGTCTTAAGTGACCTTCTGCCAAGGGGAACGATCAGTTTCGTGATCAGCCCTTCATTCCAATCTGGGATTTTCTGGACAGACGTCCATGGGTGTCCATTGACCTGTACAGATTTGATAACCCCATTTGAACAATGGTCTGCTTCAGGCCCCTGGCAGCAAAACTAAAGGGGGGTAAATGAATAAACTCTCAACACACATTGGCTTCTTTGGTAGCCGAGTGACAGGAGCTGCCTCTCCAGAGAGGAGGACCTGAGTGTTGTCTTCACGTTTCTGCCAATTCAAATTGGTTGTGCAGTTTCTCACTCCTCTCACTCATCTGCTGCGCAGTGGGGCTGCACTTTGGTGGCAAACAATGCTGGCCCCCTCCCGTGTGTGAAGTGTGTTGGGATGCAATATGATACAGAAACGCCAGGAATTATAATAATCAAACACATTCCCTATGCGGATGATCACCCATCCTTATTCAAGTTTGTATTCTCACCCTCTCCTTGCGCACCTCTGTCCCTGTAGCACCGCTATCACGAGGTGCACATGGCCGTGTCCAAGGTGCCCGGGACCCAGCGGGGGCTGTGGCTGATCCCACGCCAGGGGAAGCCAGAGATCCAGGTGGTTCTGGTGGACTCGAAGGGGAGCGTGGCAGAGGCTCTGGCCCGTGAAATCATGGAGGACATCAAGACACAAGGTGTAGCAGAAGCAGCCCATCCCAAACCACTACCGTTCCAAGTTACCTATCCCCTGCCAAGTACTTTAGGCAGGCAGGCTGATGGAGACGAGATCTCTTACAGACCGGTTTCCTTGTGCACATCCATAGGTGTACATGTAACTCGGAGAAGAGATGAACTACTGTGAATGGTTGTTCAGGCACCGACAAAGGTCAACCCAGTGGCCTTCTTTAGAAGAAACGGTAAAACATGAAGCAGAGGACCGATGTGGAGAGCGTGGAAGTACATCAGTAATGCACATTCGGTCAGAAAGCAGCAGAGCCTGTGGGTTGAGTAGTTTGAAGGTTTATAGGAGTGTAAACTAAGTCATGAGCGGTGTCTGTCCTGCACATTCTCTTCTTTCAGGCGGTCACCTGGGGATAGCCGACGCAGAGCTACAGACCTCCGGCAACGAGGCCGCGGGAAGGTCTGGTGGGGTGGTGGCGGGAGGCGTGATCGGGGCCCTGGTGCTGCTCGGAGGGATAGCCCTTGTGGCCTTCCTGTTCACCTGCGGAGTGATCCGGTGAGGCGATCTTGAGATCTGGGGGCAGCGGCTGATCCCTGCCTGTTGTCCCGGAGGCTCTGCAAGAGGGCACAGCTCTGAGAGTCTCCTTTTCTTTTGTGCCAGTCTAGCTTCCTCAAAAACGTATCGATGGAGGATGGAGGCACTGGCTGTCTTTCTTTTCAAAAGGGTCATTTTATCAAACTACCCAAACAAGGATATACTTGATAAAAATGTTTGAACAGTGAAAACACAAGAAAGGCTTCAGAAAATGGTACTGTGACATCCGTCTCTTGTTTGATACAGTCTACTTCTCTCGCAGGCCACCCCCTCTGCCCTCCTTCCCCAGCTGGAAGAAAAGGGAGTCTGATGACCTCGGGGGTCCTATAGACCAAGGCTTTGACAACCCCATCTTTGACAAGGCCTCCGAATTGCCAGTAAGCATTGCTACACTTGTGTTTTCATAAGGAGTCTATCATCCTTTCTTCTTTGTGTCTGACATGTGAACACTCAACAGTCTGCCTGAGAAAGAAAACACATGGTCACTTCCCTGACCTTCTAAAAGACCAATAGCTGGATACTCAGCTTGGCCTACTTCCGAATGGCAGATTCTCTCTTCAAATATTAAAAAAAAAAAGCTTCTCAACTGGCTAATAAACGTGACATCTGAGAATGGAGGTAGAAACTAAGGCCAAAGGAGCACCGGTTCAAACCTGGGTGCTGGTCATTCAGGGTCTCATCACCTATTGGTGAATGTCCTGTACCTGTAGGCTCACTGTGTCATCAGTCAGAGAGTGACTATCACTCCTCCAGTCTGTGCTAACAGTCCAGAACAAACCTGTCCAGTACAGGAGTCCTACAGCTGCTAGCCAGGTCTTAAGACAACAGGTCATTCTGATTTTTAAAAACTTTTCATCAGCTTTTGAGTGAACCAATTTGCTCTTAGGTAAACATGGTAGAAGTAAACTATCCTGGCCTTTGATTTTCTTTGTCTCTGCAGGAAATCCCTGGGCTGCATGGAGGCAATGCCCTTAACACCCTCTCCTTCACACAGTCTGGCGTGCACTTTGTCAATCCTCTGTATGACGAGACAGACTTGAACGTCTAAGGCTGCACTTCTGATCAAGGGAAGATAACACTTAAACTGCAACGCTCAAAAAACGCATCAAGTTTTCAAGTCACAAACTGATCACTCACAAAGTTTCTTTGAAAATCACAAACATGACAAGCAACAACATAAGAGGGGTCAAAGTCTGTATCTGTGCATGTTTTGTAAATGTCTGGATCCGGTTTACTGCTTTCGGCTAAAAACAGTCCAAAACTGGCTTCTCTATGGCCAGTGTGGCAGAGAACCTCCACACACCACTTTACAAAAACCTCAGCTTGAGGAAGTCTGAAACAACCAGTGGAGCTTAGAATGACACAAGATTTAAAAATGCAGAACGAGGCTCTGACCATTTAAAATGCCTTTTTTTTTGCTGCTCTGTAGCGGTCCAGCACACTGTTGTCTTTTGTTGTCTTGTGCAATTTCTGTTGACTGCATTGCACCTAACCGCTGAAAAATAAACTGCTTCGCAATGACACACACGCCACTCACAATCGTCAACTGACAGCTGACCGATTTTCTTCCTCCTGGCTGGAATTGGTTTTTGTCCATTTAATGGTGTGTAAGGAGCACCAGCAGGTGGTGTTCAGAAGGCCTCCTTGTATGTGCTGGGGCTACCTGCTGGACCCTGTCTGTGACAAGGCAGCTGAGCTGAGGGTGTTGTGTGGTCACACAAAGCAGACAGGATTGAAGACAAGCAGTTCCTGCAGACAGGCCTGCACTGTGACTGAGGGTTCAGAGAAACCAAACCATCGAAACTCATCGACACCTAGGGGCGTCACCCAAGCACTTAAGGCGCTTATGCCTACAGCTACATACAAATAGGGGGAAATTAATTTTCCTTCTGGTTCCTTCCAGAAATAAAGTCGTATGCAAGGAATCCGAAACCCCTTTTATTGGATCAGACAGCATTTTGAAGAAAAAAAAATACGAGTACCTCCCTCTTTTTTTATTGTCTGTTCAAAAAAAAAAAGTTGCTCACAATTCAATAATTACAAAGACTCAGACTTACAATTATTTTTTTTTTAAAAAAAAGAAGCAGTAGTGTTTTTCTTTAGTAATGTCCCATTTTAAGAAACAGAACGGAGGGGGAGGTGGGGATGGGGAGAGTGTAATAAAAATGATAAAAAGGAGAGATTAACTGAGACCGGCATTAAGATGGCATGAAATCCAACGAATAGATTCCTTGATCTAATAAAATGTGCAAGTTTGATACAGTGTTTCTGAAAGAACCACCACCATTTGTAGTACATCACTAATAGCCCGTAATATTAATTTTATCTTTATTTTCTTGATGTCATACTGTCATATAAAATGGCACTGAAGGCACACTAGTGTGACAAACTGGATATGCCAGCCATCGCCTTAAATTACAAGCGTCTTTAATGAAAGATGGCCACAAATGTTTCGATTCAATTTCTAACACATGGAGCAGCAGTGAAATCTACACAAAACAGCACCACAGATGGGACGTGTGGACAGATGGGACCGCCGGTCATTGCACAGGGCTGTGGAGCGAGTCTGTCAGTGTGCTGCAGTCATTCTACATGAGTGGAAACATCCACAACTACACGGGAATGTGAAAGTCAGGCTTGTGGGGGCTTCCAAGCGCACCATGGCCCTGCAAACTGAAAAGCAGAAAGCCGTGTGTGCTGTGCAAGAAATCCTATGAACAATGCTGTCGTGTGAAGTATATTTTTATTTAGGAAGTGTTTATAATAACTACTAGAAGTCGGGCAATTATTTCTTTTTTCAGTTCGCAGTGTTTTCATCTATACATGGCAGATTATTGCAAAGACCTACATTTAGAAGATTAACGTAATACTCTCTGAAATGTTCACATTAGTGCCTACTGGTATTGCATAAACCCTGAATAGTCAACAATGGCATCTAGTTTTTTTTTTTTTAAGGAGACAGTGCAAAGATCGGGAGAGCTGAAGTCATTCTAGAAGAAAGGAGGAAGGACAGATCAGAGCTCTTTGTGTGGGGGGGGAGAGAGGCATCTCTTACTGCCAAGATTCAGTCCTCCTGTGGTGCCCAATACTTTAACAAGTTTTCAGAACAAAAAAAAAATTAACATTCCTTGCATTCTTCATGATCTTTTGTTTACACCTTGATACGTTCGCTATACAATAAAAAAACGGCTTTTCAGAGGGAAAAAAAAAGAACTGTAATGAGGGCGTGCCATTATTCTTAATATCCCTCTTTGCCAAGAGCCGAAGGTCCCCATCACTTCAGCGGCTGTCACTGACGTAGCAGCAGTCCAGACAACTTGCTTAGTGAAGTTCTTAAGAAACAAAACAGATCGGCACGCGCAGGCCATTTAGAGGACCACCTGCGTCACACTCTCCACTCCTATCTAACCCCAACAGACTTGGTTCTGACCCTGTAGTTTAAAATACCCGCTCCTGCCCCGCTCCAGAGAACACAGCTCCGTCAGCCTGGCCTCAGGCAAGGAGAGAGACCACCAGCTGGAGTGGGTTCCTCACTCTGCCTCACTGCCCAGCCCCCCCCCCAACCCCTAGAACCTAAACTTACTGGCAGCTTCTTCACAGCTAGAAATAAAACGAACAAAACAACACAAAGAAATGCTTCACAATGATTTTTAGAAGACAGACCCACGATTCGGTCCACATCCTGGAGCCTATTCTACACCAGGGATCCACGGACTGTCCAGAGACGAAGCCACGGCGGGGAGCCCGGCCTGCAAGCGGGCGGGGTTTGCACGAGGAGGGGGCGTGGGCGCCCTCTCGCGGGGCGGCGCGGCTCCCAGGCGGCCGAGGAAGCGAAGGAGCGAGGGCCGGGCGGGAGCGGATCTATTCTTGGCACTTTCTGCAGCGGCGTGAAGCTCCAGTCGCGCGCGCGTGCGCGTGTCCCCTCCGCGGCCGGCTGCGGGCTCAGGCGTCGAAGGTGGAGTGGTCCAGGCCGTCCAGGGTCAGCTGGCTGCGGTGGGGGGAGTTGGGGCTCGGGGGGCTGCTGGGGTTCGAGCTGTTCGAGGGGGTCGAGTGCTTGGTGGAGTCCGAGTCAGGCTGGAGAGAGACGGCAGCGCGTGCTGGTCAGAGCCCCAGGACATTACACCCCCATAACCCAAACACATCACATGAGTAACGGCTACAAAGGCAAGAGATGCCGAGAGTTGGGAAAAACACCGACATCACTGCCAAGTGGAAGAGGCTCTGAAGGGCATTTTGTCCTTCCTAAAATGTATCTGAAGAATCGATATGAGTCAAAACTTACCATCAAATCGGATTCGGGAAGCCTTGGGTTTCTAAATTGTATGCAGGTCTTTAGAGAAATCGTATGTCACCAGTATGAAGCGAGAGCTGAGCCTGATCCACAGACGTGGGACCAGTGTTCACAGAAATGAGGATAAGGACAGGCCGGATTGAACAGCATGGACACGAACGGCGAGAGGAAGGGAGCTGAGCCAGACGGGAACACAAATTCAGAGGCGGGCAAGCGGGAGGGGAACTCACCTCTCTCTCAAAGTCTGGGTCGGGGTCGGAGATGTTCCGGGATGATACTGCCCCACCAAAGTCCCCGCCTCCTGGAGAGCCGGGAAGCGAAAACATGCCCTCAGATTAACTGCACAGGACAGATCACTGGGCTTGAAGCCCAGCTGATGCAGGTCCACACAGCGAGCACGGACAGTCTACCCTTAACTGCTGTGTTTCCCCCTGCAGGACCAGCTTGTGTGGGGCAAGCACACAGATGAGATGGTTCGCTTCTGATATGCCAATACTTTACCCACAATTCACAAACCTTTAAGTAACGAGATACTGGCAGAGTGCGTAAATGAGCCTGACTTGTTCATTTCTTTTTGGTTTGTTTGTTCAGGTAGTCTTAGTGCCTCTGCCAAATAAAAAAAAAGGGTCACCTGTCACTCACACAAGAGTGTGGCGTCTCCATCTGCCCCCTGCTGGCTGGGGCAGAAGGGGGGGAGACCTGTCTTTAGCCCTTTGGACAGAGCACAAAGCTGCTCCCTCGGCTGTTCACACGCAGTGTCTGCACGCCCCTGGCTGTCAGAAAGAGGTGTGGGTAGGAGGCTCTGGGTTGTGTTACCTGAGGCGGTCCGCGTGATGTACGTCTTGCTCCTCTGCTGCCGTGAGATACTGGAGACGGGGCGCGCTCGGTCCCGGGCTGGGTCATCCTGGGATGATGGAAGAACGCTCTGGATACACACACACGCAGTCAGTCACTACTGACAGCTCAGAGTTCACCAGCTCTGCTTCAGACATGTCCGATTCCTTCACTGGGCCCCACAGCAACATGGGAATGACTCATGTCTGCTACAGATAACTAGTGGAGCTTGACCAAGGCTTAGCCTGGACCGCTGGGTAAGCATACCATGATTTTATTAAAAAAACAAAAGTAAAATCAGACTCCTGACAATCTGATAAAAAAAAAAGAAAAGTGTGAATGCATTATGCATAGTTATATAATGGAACTGCTTAAAATGAAGGTGTTAAAGGTCAGATTGATTCAGACGTGATGGGATGCTTTTGCAGAGCTGCTTCATGTACTACTGAGTGCTCAGCATGTGATCCTTATACAGTAGAGCAGACTGAAGAAAAAGGAACAGACCCCACAGCCTCTTTCTTTCTGCCTTTTTGGTGAAGTAGTTCAGACTGCAAAGATAAGGCATGGCAATGCGCTGCCAAGGGGCAGCACATTGAGAACAGAAAGCATGACAGAAAGGTCCCCAACCCTCTACAGCCACTTTGATAGTTACGCCACTCCACAGAGAAACGGATGAAAAGAGGACATGGAAAAGAGGGAGCAGGCAGGGAAGACAAGCAGAGGGGTGGGAGTGAGGAAGAGCTATTCCTACCCTTCCTAAGGAGGTAGTGGAAGGAGAGGAGGAAGAAGAGGAGAGCAGAGGCAGGCCTTGCAGTGAGGAAGGCTCTTTCTGGAGATAGATTTCGGCAGAAATAGGGCTCATGTGATAGACGTGCTCAAAGTTGGTTGGAGGAGATATCAAAGCATGGTGTCGAGAGGATGAGGGGGAGGGAAATTCACTCTGCTACGCCAACAGAAAGGAGAGAAACAGGAACAGAGGGAGAGAAAGAGACAGAGAGAGAGAGAGAGAGAGAGAGAGCAAGGAGAGATACTAGTTAATTCCAAAAAAGGAAAGAGACAAAAAAAGGGAGAAAAGAAAAAAGGTAACATCAAAGAGCCAGGACTGCAGGGTAACCCACTCCCCGTACTCAGTCTGAGGCTGGCAGATGGCTGAGATCCGTCTAATGAGAGGGGCCGTGTCACAGATGGAGGGAAGCCCCCCCCTCTTCTGGAGCGCAACAGCTGCTGACGCTACCCAGACCCCCCCAGCCTCACCCTGCGTGCCGGCGCGCCGCGCTCTGGCCCAGGACCCGGGGGCTCGGCCCCGGAAGAAGGGCCGAGCCTCGTCCCTTTAGTCCCTCAGGCCTGGGCGACGGTGTTCCCAGCAATCCCAGCAAGCAAGCATCTCCTAACAAGTGTGTCTGGAGTTTCTACAGCACCTCTGCTTGGCCGTGTGGAGCCGGCCTGCCACGCCCCCTCCCCCGGCCCCGCCCCTCCGCCCGCCCCCGCACTGCTCCCTGGCGCGCGTGGTCAGGTATTACCAGGGGGAGGTCCATGAGGACTTGCATGCCATCCCCAGGGCCCATGTGAGCGACGTGATTGAAATTGGTGGGGTTGGAGATCATCTTTGACCTCAGCTCAGGGTCTCTCAGCATCTCACTGTGAAATAAGATAATAAGACACCATTTTCAGCACCGTTATTGAATCTTCTTCTGTCTTTTTTTCCCTACTGATAACCCGTACAGCTGGCCCTTCTCCTCCTGCACCTCTCCCAGGATGCCGGCCTCCGCTATTGCCTAACACCAGACGGGGGGGGGGAGGGGGCGCCTCTCTTTTTCCGAGATACCAGTGCTGGAGAAACCAGAGCAGGTCTGAGAGCATGTGTGGTGGTGGGGGGGGGTAACCCCAAAAAAAAGAGGAAACATTTCCGCCCCTGGGGCTCCGACGCGGTGTTCTGTCATGGTTTTGTTTACTCTCGGGCTCACGCTAGTAAATAACCAGGCGGTGCCTGTTCATGCCTTCACATCACTGAAGCCCTCAGTTAGGATTGATACAGCCCTCGCCGCCTCAAGAGCTGGGGACCTGAAGTGAGCAACGCCAGCGGTTCTCTTCCCAAGAAACGTACTCATGTTTGGACTTAATTATGCTGGAAATGAGAGTGTTCATGGCCTCGCACATCCTGTGGCTGGGATGGCCTGGGGTGAGCTGGGATGGGCTGGGCTGGGCTGGGATGGGCTGGGATGGAGTGAGAGGGAGGGGATGCTGTAAAGGATCTGCGTAAAAGTCCAAGTCACCGTCGCTGCTGAAGCCGCTCCTCCTCCGGCACCTTGAACAGGAACTTCCTCTTGCTCCGCGTGCGCACCATCAGCTTCCTGCTGTTGTCCGAGGTTTCGGGGATGGCCAGGTCAGCCACCTCTGTAGAGAGAAGAACGCCCAGCCCCCGTCAGTGCCCCACGCGCCACCCTCTCGCAGTCCTGAGCTGAAGCCAGGTGCTGCGGCGGGGTTAACGGGCTTCGGCGGGGACAGAACTGACAGGGAATAACCGACCGCACAAAGGCAGGAGGAAACCTCTGAGGATCCAGGGTCTTCGGACTCACAAGAACAGATCGAGAACTAAAACTCACGGAGGCTCAGGTGTGAGCAGCAGCAGAACATACCTATCTGTCTGCAGGAAAGGGACCTCAAAGTAACACAAGGGAAACTAAGATGTCTCCCCCCGTGATACTGCGCAACTCTTTTATTCCTCTATCATCTTGTTCAGTCTACACCGACATATTTTTGCACTGAAGCATTTTACCTGCCTGTAGTAACACTGCACAACTGGCTTTCTGTTAAAATACCCAGCCTTGTAAGTAAAGGCACAAGTTAAGTCGCTTTGGAGAAAAGCAACAGCCAAATCAGACACCTTCATGATGAAATTCAAGACTTCTTTTGAGCCAGTGTACGTTCATGTTCAATTTCTAGGCGTGAAGACGAGGGCTGTAGGGAGTCGGTGCTGTAGTTTCAGGAATGGTGGGACCCGGCGCAGAGCAGACACCCACCTGAGGAGGAGCTGTTGCTGAAAAAGATGAGTCTCGGCTGCTCCGAGCCCAGAAGGTTCAGGGTTCCCTCCACGTTTAACGGCCGGATCTGCCAGCGGAGCAGAGAAACAAGCTGAGAGAGAGAGAGACGACGGCAGCAATCCGACACACGGAGCGATTAACAATCCTGACCGCAGCACTGCTTTGCATGCTATTTTTGATCCGAGCCTCCTTGATTGTATGGTAGCTTGTTAACAGGGGGGAAAAAATTCAGAACAAAAAACGCAAGCAATTCACACCTGAGCTGCAAACAAGAGGTCAGGCTGACAAGCTTCACGGCAGGCCTGTGGCGTCTACACTAAAGATAGTTGAACAGAGCTTAATCTGGTTAAGTTGTATGAAATGCACATACCTTTCGTAAAGAAACCGTCTGGACCCACTCCAGAGTGTTCACATCAAAGACGTCAATCCCATAGTCGCTGTACACGGTCAGGTAAGAGGAACTGGAGCCTGGCAGAGGAAACCACAGTTGTAACGACACACTCACAACAGCTAGGCCACTGCGATTGAACACCGGAGACATACGAGCAACTGGGAGCTCATTAAGAGCTTCTACTGTTAATAACATACCAACAATGGAAAAACATTGACAAATGACCAAAACTTTCTCATTTTGAAAAAACATTTGCACTATTTTGCTCATATTTAGAGAGCCCTGCATCGTGTTGAAAATCTCTGGCCCGGATCTCCCACTGAGGACGGACAATGAGCAAATACACAGGAGATGCCAGCTCCCCAGAAGCAAAACACTGTGCCAGCTAAACATAAATAAGACAAACTGGTCTAAAAGGGTAAGAAGCTGATCTTGACTGAGAATCTGAAGTGAGAGGTACAGGTTATATAATCCTGTGCAAGGCTCAGAACCTGAAGAACAGACTGTTCTGTATCTACACTGTGGTTTATCAATTGGGGTCAGGGGACTCCCTCGGCACAGCTCTGAACAGAACAGGAAGTCAGCTGACAGTGGAAAAGGAGGTCACCTCCATTAAGCACATGAGGGAGAACAGGTTTTCCTGTAGCGTTTAGAAACAGGGCTTTAACCCTTTCTAAAGGTGAGGAACAGATGACCTCTACCCTCTGACCGGAGCCTTTTTCATCCCCCCAGAACAGCCCCGACAATATGAACCATTTTCCTCGGCTAAGACAGCTCGTCTGTTTTGTCTTATTCTCTCGCCCCAGGGGGGGGCACGAACGGGGAGAAGGAGAGTGCAAGCCGACGTACTGCATGCCAGGGGAGTGGCCGGCCACATGAGCTCCTGCGTCCGCGACCGGCGGCCCTGCGTGTCCACGTACACGCCCAGCTGGCTGAAGCACAGGAGGGCCTCGCCCGAGCCGACCTCCAGGGCGTGCAGGGCGTCCAGCGGCTGCTGGCTGAGGAAGGACAGCGAGGGGTCGGAGGGGCTGACCAGGCCGACGGGGGGCGCCTCCCCCTGCACGCTGAGCAAGGAGAAACCGGAGGGGTAGCCCACACACAGCCGCTCCCAGAGCTGGCCGAGCCACTGCACCACGCCGGGAGCCTGCACCTCCCACACCCTCTTGTGGTAGGGCTTGGTCCTGTAGATCTCGTAGCACAACACCTGGCGCTTCACCGCCACCAGCAGGCAGGGGGGGCCGCCCTGGCGCAGGATGCCCGTGGTCAGCGCCTGGCAGCCCTTGGTCTCGGGCAGCTTGATGTCGAAGTTGGTCTCGGCTCCGTCCAGCGCAGCCCAGGGGTGCAGATGCACGTGCCGGTTGCGCCCGCAGAGCAGCACCACGATCTTCTCTTTGGGGATGAGCTCGATCTGATGCACCTTCTTGCAGTCTGCGGCCCGCACAATCACTGCCAAACAAAGGTCGCGGTGAATCCAAACAGCTCCGGCAGGATCCGAGACACCCAGGGCCAACTCTCACCATTCAGCCATCATGCATCTTTCTTATATTGCAGGCGATTTTGTTAAAAGAACATTTGACTGTAATACACAAATACTATTAGTATCACTGTAAAGACGCACGCGATTGACACAAGACAATACAGTGTTTTGACTTTTTGATATTACACAGTCTCTTGGACATTAATAATGTCAACCACAGGGAGGTGACAAAAAAAAATCAGGTTTAGACTAAATCACTCATGTAAATCAGACGCTAGGTGGCGCTCTTACCATCTCGAGTGACTTCCACCACGTACAGCCCCTCCTCCGTGCCCAGTGCAATGCGCTCGCGGTCTGAGGGGGAGACAGGGAAGCCTGCAGTGAGCAACACAGCTCCACACTGCCTTCTGAAAACCGGCTTTTTTTTTTAGCAAAAGTGTTTTTTACCCAAGATTACGGACTTAAAACTTCACGTGTTTATCTCGTGTGCGTCAGTGCCTGCCTCATGCTTTTGTGGAGCCAGAAATAACACAAGCTAGTCTTCCAAACCTTCCATCACCTACAAATGGAAAACCTGGTAAATTATAGCGGAATCTGGGTATCTGGGTCATTTATGTCTTGTTTTCAGTTCCTGCGGGGCAGGACCGTGGATTTTATCCCTGAACGATCCCGCTCCTCCTACAAGAGGCCAGTTTCCTCTGCACGAACCAGGGCTATACACCACTTGCAAGTATTTACTGATCTAGGGTTTCAAAGCCAGATTCAACCTCCTCCAGGCTTGGCACAGGCAGCAGCCCTGAACTCCAAGTCTCTCCTGGGTTCCAGATTTCACATCATTTGGAAACATTCACTTAATTAACTGATGCCGGGAATACATCAGCAGGCAGTGCGGCGCTCCGAGCCAGTCCCAGTGATATGCGATCACATTAGCGGAATGCCATAATTCCAGGCACATGGCCATTTCATTAGCACCGCCCGGGCCCCAGCGCTACTGCAGAGGGGTCAGCGGAGGTCATGGGGAGGGAGCGGGTATCGGACATCTCCAGGACAACCGCAGTTACCTTCTTGGCCGTGTCGAGCACCGGTCAAGCAAAGGAGGACAGTTACATAAAGGAAAAAGTAACACTATCGACTCCATCGTGGGGTCGGACTGAATCGGACGTAAGCCAAGCTGACTGCACTGCTCCTCAGGAGCCAGCACACGTCTGGGAAAGATGAATGGGCACCAGTCCAGTATGTGAACCAAAAAAAAAAGTCAGCTTGACTTTGAACTTGGATGTAAATATGAGAGACAACAGCTTTCCAGTTGCTCCCCTCCGACCTTGTTAAATGAAACGGCACATTCTCCGAAGGGCTTCCAGGTTTATCTCCTCCCTCTCCTTGGGAAAGTGATTCTTCTTGTTGTGTCTTGCTTGCTGCCTGACTGCCAGAGGATTACTAACGTAACGGAAGTACCTTCAGTCAATTTGCTCAGGAAATTCTGCTGAGCAGTAAGTGCGTTTTTGAGGAGGCTCATCTCTGACGGGGGGGATAAGAACAGCAAACAGCAGCTGCCGAAACGTAACACTCTCCCATCTCTCTGGACCAAAGCTGGAGGTAGCAATGACAGACTCGGAGGTCTCTCTCAAACGTATAAAGCCCTTCAGCATCACCTGGCACACTGGGAAGAAGTGCAAGCATGGATCACGGAATTCCTGGCCCTGACAGGAATATCTAGGCATCTGGTTTAAAGCATCCCTCTCTGGCCAATTCTGTACTTTGCATCACGTTCACAAAAGCTAGCTTTCCTAATGCCCGAGATGTCTGGGGCCGCGGGCTACATCTCTGGCAGCAGTCCTCATCTCTCGTTATGAGCTGCAGGAAAGAGGTGGAGCAGGCAAAAACGACAGACCGGGACCTGGCGCGCGATTTACTTCATGCGCTTATTCAGCGACCTCATCACGGAGCTGGGCTGCAGCAAAGACCTGCGGCGGACCTGCACCCGAAGGATCGGGACTTCTCACCTATGATAGCAGCAGACAGGGTGGACTTGATGGCGGGCAGCGTGCTGTCGTAGGCCTCCTGCAGCACGTGCACCACCCGGTTCTTCAGCCTGTTCTTGTTCAGGATGCTCTGGAGACCCTCCAGGATGCCGACCCACTTCCTCTTCTCCGTCTCGCTCTCGGCCAGGATCAGGAGGGAGCAGGTGCGAGGCGGGGAGCTCAGCAGGGAGGAGGTGACCTGGGGGGGGCAGTGGGAGGGAGGGATGGACAAGCCGGTCATCAGGAGCATGAGTCCCAGGCAGCGCAGGACCACCACACTGAACAGCTCCCCCCCCGTGACCACAAAACCCCCCTGTTTCAGCAGGTACATAAGCTGAAACAGCCTGGGCCAGATGGCTGAATATCAGCTTGATCTGAACTTCATATACAATAGAAAACTGCTCACAATCCCTTTTCTAAAAAGCACATACAAAAGAAGAGGCAAAAAAAAAAACAGAGCAAAGGTTTATTCACTTAATTGTAACAATGCCCACAGGAAAGTGAAAAGGGGCTGGTGTAAAAGCAGCCTACCCTAAAGATGCAGGGTACATCCTTCCGGGTTGCATGAATCACGTCAGAGGCCAGGACAGAGCTCACAGAAAACTCTTCATCTCTGAAAAACCCAGTAACAAAAAAATACTTTTAAGGCACCTCAAACCTGAATACTTTCACAGGGAAGTCAAACGGTTTTTCTACACTCACTCTGAGCTCTGGGATGTTTCCTCAAGTCTGCCATACTCTTGCCACCACGATTTAATGCAGTGCATGCAATTTACCCAGCCTTCAACTTCATTGACTCCTGATGTTCATGGTTTTTTAAGGCATCAGCACACCACGAACAATCTCGACTATGTATTTTAGGTATACCAATTTTCGCTTTGTTGAGCCTCATAGTTTCATCGTGTAAGTTATTCAAGCAGTTTGGCATAACAAGGCCTGCTGAAACTCACACCTCTTCGATGTTTGTTTATAAAGAAACAAATGGGGACCTGCTGGAGTAGTCACTTTCGACACCTTGCAGGCTTTTAACATCAAGTTAGCTCATGGGTTTTCAACCAGGTGTATGCAGCTGCTTTGCATGTGACCTCTGACCTCAGATCGAGCACTTGGCTAGCGACCACGCCCGGCTGCGTGGACTTCCCCTCGGGCACGTCGTACAGGAACAGCTTGCAGTCACAGACCACGGCGTATGCCCGCTGCCAGCCTTTCTTCACGCCTGTTGGCTTGGGGATCTGAAGGAGGAGAGCATAACCACATGACCTGAGGGCACACGCCCACATAGCCACGCCCCCTCCCGCAAACACCTGCACAGCCACGCCCCCTCCCGCAAACACCTGCACAGTCACGCCCCCTCCCGCGCCACCACACACACCTGCGCAGACACGGCCCCTCCCGCACACACCTGCATGGGCACGCCCAATCCTGCACCACCAAACAAACCCGCACCGACACACCCACCCACGCATGAACTCAGCCAACTCCCTCCTGCACAAACACACACACCCGCACTTGCAGATCTAAATTCACACTCCTGGGCAATCGCACATAGCCGCACTGATTTTCGTAAAACAGATATGCCCATAGACAAAAAAAAAAAAGAGATCATATGGTCTCAAAGTGATAGATAATAAGAAATCATGTTTAACACATAAATATATAAAAAAAGATATAAAATATACAGAAAAGAAAGAAAAAAAGTTTTTGAAAGACAGAAACATCCAACAGCGGCAGACATTACAGTCAGTTAAAACAATTATTAGCTTGGTATCCTGTGTCACAAACAAACAGTTTGCCTGTTCAATACTGAATCACAAGACCACAGAAAATAGTTTCCGAGGCCATAATCACCTCATTTCCATCAAAGTTTCTGACAAGACCATATCCGATCAGCGGCACAAAACTGACAAGCTCTGCTACTGGAAACGGATGTTTGTAACATTACTGGATTACGGTTTCAAAAACGATATCTTGAGATAAGAATCTCAAATGCTTTGCACAGGGAAAAAGGGAAACTTCACTTAAAGAAGATGAGAATGAAGGAAAGGCAAGTGATATGACATTTAATCTACTGTGCATATCAAAATAAACACTAAAAACAGCCGGCTGAAAGGATTAAAAGAATAAAAGCATTGAAAAACAGACATGCCTTACCTTTAGAAAATGACCTAAAAATCTGGATATTTTTCACAATTTCCCTACCATTCTAAGAACTCGAAATAAAAAAGTACTTCGTTCGGGAAAAGAAAAAATCCGAAACGTCGGATGTGAGAAAGCCGCCACAGTAGGGCTGCAGGGCTCTTGGCCTCACCCTGACAAAGCCTTTGTACGCCGTGCCGATGCCCCTCTGCACATCGATGCCCAGCGGTCTCTTGGCCTGCTCCGGGGGGATGGGGCACACCTGGGGGGCGTGGTCCTTGCAGGTCACGTGGCAGATGAAGGAGCAGACTGAGGTGTGAGGGAGGGAACACGAGACAGTGGGCTCTCAGAGGACGGCACTCATCGGGAGAGAAAGCACGAGGAACGTCTGCTTGTGAGGCTCAAGGTGAGTCTGTCAGAGATCTGTGTACTAATATGATGGGCTTATGCAACCCAGAACACCTTTTCTGAGAGTCTGACCGTTTTCCAGGGACAACTAGACATGGATAATGAACAGTCTCTGTAGCACCAGGAGTTCTTCTACTTCCCTTTTTCTAAATGACTTTTAATGCAATTGCAAACTGAGTATATTCACCTCCAGCATGGGGTACAAGAACAGAGAGAACACGCACTTGGTCGCACTTGGTCCACACTCCCACCACCCTTTGTGTAAAGTAACACCTCCTTTCCCTCATTTCCAGGGCACAGCACCGGGGTTGGCTACTCACCCTCACAGGCGTAGCCCTGGCGGATCAGTCCGACCATCAGGGAGGTGCAGTGCGTGCACTGCGCGGGGCTGGAGAAGGTTTTGATGCTGAGCTGATGAGCCTTAGGCTGGGAGACAACAGAGTGACCTTCACACACATGGTCTACACCGGCGGCAACACTCTCCTCTAGGCACTGAGGAGCACACAGCTCCTAACGAATCTCTACACAACCGCTACAGTTTGTAAGCGGAGGGGAACAGGTAATTAAAGCTCTCTTAAGAGGAAGCCGAGTTTCCACAGAAATTTGTTCAGTGGGCCTGTGCCGGGTGGGAAGAAACCTCACACCTCCTCACTCCACATTATCCGGTCTTGCATGACCACTTGCATGACACGGGACAGGCTAACTGAGGGACACTGTAACAACTGCCGCAGCACAGTACTAGAAGAAGGGACCTTGGGTGCCGTCAGGTGTGATGACTGGTACGCCGGAGAAGTAGCAGCTGGAGCAGCCGGCTGGGGCTTCGCTGGCTCCTGGGAGAGAGAACACAGAAGGAGCGCTTTAAACCAGGCGGGCAGAGGCACAGAGGGACGGGGCTCAATGCCACACAGGCTGGGAGCTCATCAGCTCCCAAACCGACAAAACAATGACACGGATTTAGAACCGAGCAAGTGAATTTTGTGCAAGCGTTAACGGATTAACGCATTCCTGCCGACCGACTACACTGAATTTCGCCCACTGCAGTCTCCCAGGGCAGGGCGACGGATACTTACATCTTGTTCTGCCGCCAGAGCAGGCGAAGAGGAGGCATCGGCTTTCTGGAGCGTGGTGTCGAGCTCACCGACAGAGCTGGTCTGCAGAAGCAAGGCGGGCACAAGTCAGCACGGTCCCGATTAAGGGCCGCTTTCTTAAAGGGCTCCAGCTAATCAGTACTGTTACCAGGCTGAGTCCATGCAATTTTCCACTCTTTACTTCCTCCCCCCATAAGTAAAATAAAAAAACGACAGCCTCTCGGTTTAGAATTAGATTTCTTTCAGAAAGCGGAACCAGATCTAATCTTGAGGTTGAGCAGTGCCTGATGATAGGTCATTAAAGGGAGCAGGCAGTACTTGCAGAAGGATGAATGAGATTGTTGATCCATTATGTCACTGGAAGCGCAGCCACATTACAGAACCACACCACAGCTACACACGTGATCGCGCCCCCTAGTGTTATTTGTTGTAACTGCTCGAACCTCCTCACTGTCCTTTACTGGCTTGGGCTTTGCCTTCCTGCCTGGAGCTGCTGTTGCACCACTGAGCAAGGTGCCTCACTTAGGATTGCGTCTGTAAATTGAGCTCTGAAACTGGGTCCAAGTTGCTTTGGGCAAAATGTGACAGCCAGACACGCTAATAATTACTATTCGTTTTTTCGTGCTGCTGATTGAAAAACACTTCTGATAAAAAATGCAATCCTGTGCAGAATCATTAGAAAACACTTGTGAACAAACTGTGAGGACCAGGCAGCCTGGTTGTGATCTGTGCCTCGAAATCACTACTGTCCAATTCCAGGCAGTGAGCTACTGATCACATGAACAAGGCCAGCTCAACAATACAGAAGGATAGTACTGAAACAGTACTTTGAAGCAGAATTCAGAGACTTAAACCTTTTATCAAACATATACTGTGGGATTAGGGGGCAGCCTATGGAAATCCCGTTTCCCTAGTACAGAACAACTGTTCCAGATGTCTGCAAGCTGGTGAGATCCACGCCAGTCTGCCGCTTCTTTTACCAGCAGGGGGCGCTATTACCCACTTTCTGTTGTTCTTCACACGGTTCAGGGCTAGGAAAAGCTTAAAACACAGTAAACAAAGACAGAACCACAAGGGCAGATACAACACCTTGAGCAAATTTGAGAAAGTTAAGAAGTCTTACAGGGTCTAACAGGTTACAGGGGAGATTCAGGTGATCTCATTAAGACCAAACTAAGCCAATAATAATGTTTGCTTTGACAGTGAGACTCTTACTGGCAGTCATGCTGACCGTTGAGAACAGAACTCCGTTGTAGAAAAGCATGTTTTGCAGCGAATGTGAATACAACTCAATAAGAACGATGCAAACAACAGACTTTGCTCCTTGCAATTTCCATTAAAAAGGGGATTAGTCAATTCAATTTATTTTTATATAGCGCCTTTCACAACAAGGCTGCCCCAGATTTCTGCAATTTCTTAAACTCACTTCAGATTTAACACAAATGGAAATTTAGTGAATCTTGTTGCTTACTGGAAATCTCACTATTTCATAAAAGGAACAAATATGTAGAATAGAAGGTCCAACTGATGGCGAATTTTGCACAAAAAAAAGACTGTCCATCAGTGAATGGGAAAGAAGTGCACCAGTTTCAGCTTTATTCCTACGGGGTCTTTTTCAGATCTACAGTACGAAGTGCGTACTACATTGGACAGCAGGTCAGCGGTAATAACCAGTACTTACGTCGTTTTAATCCACTGTCACGACAAATAAAGTATTGCTTGGCAGAGTCATCTTCATTTATTAAGGGTTAATGTTCAGAAAATGTGCAATGGCAGATGTCCGGGTCACTAATTCAGAAGCACATCCTACACATTAAATTGCTAATGGTTAGGAGCTAAGAGCTACAGCAGCAGTTTACGAGGGATAGCAGAGTGGGGAGCAGTCAGTGGGTTATACTGTAAGGCACTCAGACTACAGCACAGGGTAGGAAGGTTACGGCAGGGAAAAGCTCTTTCCAGCCAACTTACTTCATCCCAAAACGCTAGCAGAGAGGACGCAGACGAGGAAGAGACAGAGTCCTTTTTTGTTTTTGGTAACAGATGTGAGGGACAGAAAATAAAATCATGTCGTTTTACTTTTTCAGCATTTGGAATCAGATCTCTACAGCAGTGGGAAGGGGATTGGGTGTGTGGAGGTTCAATGTGAAAAAGCTACATTAGTCTCCCTTTCTTCCTCTCCAAGAGAAAAAACCTCTCCCGATGATCTCAGGTGGGATCAGGTGGACATGTGGCACATGACTCCCAATTCAATCACAACCCAAGGCCATCTGCAGCTCCAGAGGGCCACACTGATGATGCCCTACCTTCATGCTGCCGACGCCTCTGACAGACGTGTTTGCTTTTAGAAATCTGAGGGGCTGGGATCAGTCTCTCTTCAGGCGCAGACAAACAGGAGCTTGTTGCATTCCAGGGCAGCGCATTGTAACTTTAGAAGCGACTGATCTGAATTTGCCTTGATCTAGCAGACAAAGAGCCACATGTCCACCCAACCGAAGCAGCGCATGTGAACAGCTTGTAGATCATGAAACACAGGCTACTGACTGACTGACAGGGATCACAAGAATCTGAGAGCTTAGCCCTGTGTTTATAGTACTGAGTATACATCAGATGGCACAGCAGCCTAGTGCAGGTCCAGCTCAATGAAATCCTACTTGTTAAAAGCATAAAACCACCTTAGGACTATCTTGTCCATATATATGCTCTTGTGAGAGGATCTGTAGATGCACTGTGTGCAAAACAGTTATGGCTGCTGCAATGTCTCAGTGATGACTCAAGAAAACAAATGGGGGAAAAAGCAGGAAAAGATTTAACTGAGGATGCAGTGTTTCCCAGTTTTTCCCCCAAAGAAAGCTGTGTTTGTTTGAAGTGTCTGATATGAATAGGTGGTTGGATAGAGTAGATCAGAGCAGCTGATTATCAAGCTCCTGATACAACTTGCACAAACAAAAGCCTTTGATGTCTCCCTTAACTGATCATGTACAAGGGACCTCATGCGTTTCTGCCTGGGTTGCAGGCACTACTCTAAAAGCCTGGGCCTATGCAGGATTTCTCAATGTGCGCGCTTTAAACAAGGAACAAATTAAGATCAGCCTCATCAAGATAAAAGCAAAGAAGTGAATCCAAACAAAGCAAGAAAAAAACAGATAAGACTCACTCTAAATGTTAAGTCCTGGGCAAATGGTGAGGTGTTGAAGTATTCAAAAATAGATTCCTGGAAGTCAGGAAGTTTTAAGCCTAAAGGAATGAGAAGAAAAGCAGAGAAAAGGTTATTTGTGGTTTTGCATTACTAATTAAATACGTTTTACTCATCTGCACCAGATAACAAATGACTGCGATTCAGGAAGCAGCCTGGGGAGGCCTTTGAACCTATGAAGTGTTAGCAACTAAACAGAGCTGAATCTTTCCAGGGATGTTACAAGAGCTGCCCAGCTCGTGAAAGACATTCAGTGCTTGTTACCTTTGTCCGAGCGCGACCTGCTCTCTTCCAGGTCTCTCTTCATGTTATCTACCTGCTCCGCCATCTCGCGATTCTTGACCTCGGACTCCTTCAGTTTGCTGTGACAGAAAAGGAGCTCAGGGTGGGAAGGGGCGACTGACGGCCCGCAGGCGGACAGACGCGCCCGGTCATTGACATGTGACGCGTGACTTCATCCAAGAGACTGAAAGCCTCTCTTCGCTTGGCCACGTAACGCGACTGGGAGAAGAGGTCCTGGTTGGATCTCTTAGTGGAGAGACTAAGCCAAAAGGGTCCAGTTTGTGGAACTAAAAAAAAAAAACTGTGCAAAACACCCGGGGGAGACTCTGAAATGTTTATGACGCCGTGCACATTAAAAAGTGGGAGCCAGATGAAATTATCGAGAGAGAGGGAAAACTGGCACAAACACAAACGCTGAAGCTGTGTTAAAAAAAAAGGCACGGCTCCTCGACACCGCTGTGTTTCCGGGTCTGCTGGAGATGTTTCCACGAGAAGCCTGTGGAGGTGAAAGAGCGAGACGGCAGAGCCGCTGACCTCTCCAGGGAGATGTTGGCCGCCTTCACTTTGCGCAGCTCCTCCTGGACCAGCTGTTTGGCCCGGATCTCGGCGTCCAGGGCCGACTGCAGCTCCAGCCTCGCGGACATGTCCAGCTTCTGGCTTCGCCGCACCTTCCACAGGGGGTCCTGAGGGGGGGGGAGAGGGAGAGGATCAGGGATCTCGATCGGCACGCTGGGCAGGAACAACCAGGCCCGCGTCCCGAGAGGACGTGACATGGCACAGCGGAGCACATTCAGTGCACACACACTGGGATCATCTCGAGCCTTTCAGAAAGCAAGCCAATGCTTTTGCACTCAGGGCACAGATCAGCCAACATGGCGAGCTCAGGATTTCATCGTAAATTTGTTCAATTACTTTTCACTGCTTCTTCTAATCTGGGGGAAATCAGCTACTTGCCAATCATGAGGCGTTCTGGGACCTGCCTGCAAACGCTCAAGTCTTATTTATTTAATTCATTTAATAATCCCCCCCATCACCCCGTAGCGCAAATGGATCACAGGATTGGAAGACCCAGCTGTTCCCAGATACGTTATTAGTGGCACAAGCACCGATGCACCAAGATCCAAACATTCAGCTGCACAGTGGAACAGGAAAATCACAGGGGTGGAAGACGACAGGAGAGAATTTGCATCAAGATTTGATCAAATCATATTCAAAGCCATTACAAATCAGGGCGGCGTCATCTTAATCTGATCAGGTCCGCTGGCAACACATGTGCACTGCCTAAAACATGAGGATCAGAAGCTGTTGGGCCTCTACCTACATACTGTACCTTTAGGCTGGACATGATGTGGAAAGGTTGAGAAATATTGGGAGTTATAAAGTCCATCATTTGTGGGAGTACTGAATAAGTCTACCTTGTTGAAGGCTATACCCAGGTTTCTTCCAAGACACAACTGGATGAGATCTTCAGATCAATTATCCACTAATTACCAAACAGGCCGGCACTGGTGAAACGATCGAAATCGGAAAACAAGTAAAAAAAAAATCCTACGGAGATGAAGACGACCGATTTCTGTGAATTGTGATTGTGAATTATTTTTATTATATTTTGCTCATTTCATTCAGACCCTTTATCTCCTCAAAAGAAGCTGCCCCAGTTCAAAGTGAGCGCCTTGGTGCTCCGGAATCCAGGAAGAACTGTCCTTATCTTCAACAAACAGCAGAGAAAGGCAAAAGCTGAGGTTTCCTTTGGCTGGAGGTGGAGGACAGGTGGAGACTGGTAGTTTTGGACATGCCTTTTGACATGCAGAGCTGTGCTGCACTTTGGGGCTTCTCCCATGACCAGGAAGATCTAGCACTTTATTGGTAAAACAAACGGCAAACCACACTGCAACAGCGTAGATTTCTTTTCATCACTGGCATATTCCTTTTATTATTTCATCATGTGAGACCAAAGGTCCATCATAAACCTCCTCTTTCCCTTTTCACGTCTATCATTTCAACTAAGACTAGCACTCATTCTACTTCAGCTTGATTTTTTTCACGGACGAAAAGCTAAACCATCTGCAAAAAAGTCAATGGGGAAAAGAAGCCAAAATGACTTGGCCTCCAAAAGTCAGATTTGGGAAGTTTTCAACATGCAGTTTTTGGTTTTCTGGAGTTTTACAGAGGAGTCTCATGCTCTGGAACAGGATTTCCCTTCTCCTTCTTTAACCTAACCACGGCTATCAGCAGAGAACCGCAGAGAGATCAAAATATTCTGTCGAAACAGCCGTTCATATTGACCAAATAGCCCCGTACTGAGAAAACACAATTTATTGTTGTGGGGCGTCTACTCAGAAGGATAGATCGGATCAGGCTTTTGAGTTCGAAAAACAAACCGCCGAAACGAGGAACTGACAGCTGATCCCGGAAGCATCCGTGGTGGTACCTGTTGTGCACAAAGCTGTGGCCTCTCACCAAAGAACAAGCGTTTGGTGCTGCATGGTAAACAGATGGCGGGCTGTCACCTGCCCAGAATGAGCACAGCGGGGCCCTGATGAAAGATGTAACGAGGTGTGACTGGCGCTGTGTGCCAGCCCACTGACCCGGTCCACGGCCTCTTGCTCAGCGCGTGCCAGCCCAGTGCCCTTGCGGCCGGGGGGTTCACACTCGGGGTTGTCGCAACAGGCGGTTGATTTGTCTCAACAGCCGTCACCCGCCGGCACGAATGAAGTCAGGGAAGAAGCGAATCATCTCTTTCGGGCACCGCCCAGCCCCAGAAAGGAATCGCCCGAGGCCGCGTGATCAAAATGATTTCAGAGAGAGGAGCACCAAGCAGAGCACCACGGAAAGCAGCACTAATGCGTCTAGGAGCGGCAGAGATTTTATTCCGGCCCCTTTCCGCGCGGCTGGAAAACGAAAGATCACCCCGGGCCGGACTGATTCGAGAAGTCGAGCCCAGGTGCCCGCGCACACTCACCAGCTTCTCGCCTACGTGCGGCGCCACAGACCTCTGAAACGGACTGTTTACGGCCCAGCCCTGCTGCAGTGGCAAGACAACACTGCATCATTGTACAGTTGGGAGAAACAAGAGCACAAGGGGGGGGTGGGGGGTCACCGAAGGCAGTGTTCCCTATGGACGGTCACTCAAGAGCTCACAGCCGGCGAGAGATGGGGACCAGCGGAATTAAGGGACACAAGCAGGCGGAATCCCTGCGCGGTTCCGGAGCTCTGAGGCTTGGTTCCA